GGCTCCCGCCCCCCCATCTCCGAGCTCCATCCCCCTTGACCCAGGGTTCCAGCCCCGCGTCCCCGCACTCACCTCAGGCCACAGTGATTACACTGTGATTACACTGCCCGCCACCCCCCCCAGGCTCTCGGAATCTGAGGTCGTCCCCAAACTCCTGTCTCCCAGACCCCGTGGACCCTCCTCAAAAGCCTGCTGGCCGCCCCGGGCCGACGCCGCGACTGAAGGTACCGGAAGAGCTGGCCCCGCCCACTTCCCCCACCGTCCTCGCCCCGCCCACTGAACCCTTAGCCACGCCCTTCAGGTCCCAGTCCCGCCTCTCCGGGCTGCTCGCCTCGCAGGACCCTCCCACTAGCGCCCCGCCCCTAGCGCCCCGCCCCTCCCCGGAGGCTCCGCCCCGGCCGCGTGTTTTGTCGTGCGCCCCACCAGCGCGGCAGCAGGCGCGAGGAGCCCGGTTGGTGGCGCCCTGATTGGCTGCGCGGCATCGGGCCACTCGGCAGTGCAGTCAGCAGAGGCGCGCGTCTGCGCAGTGCGCGGGGCGGGGATGTGCCGTCAGATCTAGGTGGCGGATCGCGGGGATTCCGCGGAGCGCGGAGCTGTCATGACGGAGGGCACGTGAGTCCCCCGGCCCTGGCGGCGGGTTCGCGGCCCCGAGCCGGTGGGCGCCCTGGGCCGGGCGGGGCGGCGGGGCGGCGGGGCGGGCGCTCACTGCGCTGGTCCTCCAGGTGTCTGCGGCGCCGAGGGGGACCCTACAAAACCGAGCCCGCCACCGACCTCAGCCGCTGGCGGCTCCGCAATGAGCTGGGGCGGCAGACGTGGACGTACTGCGGCCAGGACGACGGCGCTGGCCGCCAGCAGACCGGCCTGGAGGCCCACTCCCTGGGGCTGGACACTGTGAGTGGCCGCTCGCCGGTGCAGCCCTGTCAGCACTTTATTCTCAGCACGAGGAAATTGCTGTTTTAGAGGGGCCCTTGATTTCAGTCTGTTTCAGAAGCGTCCTCTTTGCTTCAGCCCCTTCATTCCCCACCTCTGCAAGGAATTGCCAGAATTTTGTTTTGAACACTTTATTTTGAAATAATTTTGGATATACAGAAGAATTGCAAAAGGTGGTTGTGACTTTTCTATTTATTCACAAAAAGTTCTTTGATCTCATGTTCTGGTTATGTTCATCCATTTACAGAAGTTCAGCTAATCTCAGTGGTCGGGTACACAGGGGCTGGCTTCTTGCCAAGCCCTGACCTCTAGCAAACACCACACCTCTTTCTGGGGAGCTGCTGTGCCTGCTGCAGTCCTTTGGGCCCTTTCTGAGAAAGGCAGGAGTTCCAGGCCCAAGTGGGTGTCAGTGCCCTGTTCACACTCTAGGTACTGTGTTTAAGATACCTTAGAGCCTAGGGTAGTGGCACATGCCTATAATCCCAGTGTCTCAGAAGGCTGAGGTGGGAGGATCACAAGTTCAAAGCCAGCCTCAGCACTGTAGTGAGGCTCTAAGCAACTTGGAGAGATCCTGTTTCAAAATTTAAAATAAAAAGGACTAGAGATATAGCTCAGTGGTTAAGTGCCCCTGGGTTTAATCCCTGGTATCAATAAAAAAAAAAAAAAAAAAAAAAAAACACATCTTAGAGAAGTTGTGAAGAAGTTTGCAGGAGACTGAATAGTAAAATTGTGAGAATGTGGAACCATACTGTACTCAGGTATTAAACTGTCTTCATACTTGATTAAAATAGCTGGAACTTTTAAAGTAATCTACATTCATTTTTTTTTGACTTGGGCTGTGGGTTAGGAGGGCTCCTCTAGACAGCAGTCCCCTTCAACTCTCATTTCTTTTGTCCCTTTGCAGAGCAGTTATTTTAAGGACTTGCCCAAAGCTCACACAGCTCGTGAAGGGGCTCTGAATGGAGTAACATTTTATGTGGGACTGCAGGCTGAGGATGGGCACTGGGCAGGTGATTACGGTGGCCCTCTCTTCATCCTTCCAGGTAGGAACTTGCTGTCCCAGCCCCCTGGATCATCCTGGGGTTCTATTTTTTTTTTTTTTCATGTCTATGTTCTTGGTGAAACAGATGAGTGCACGGGAAGGGATGAGGAGGGTTTCCCAGAGTCCCAGTCACCCTGCTTCTGGTGCTGGGACGGAAGTGGAGGCACTCTGATATGGGAACCAGGGGAACTGGGGAGGAGGCTTTTGAGGCCCAGTGCTGGGGGAGAGAGGACCTCTATGGAGGGCCCAAACTATGCCAAGGTGTGGTAGGTGGGCAGAGTGGTGTGTGGGGAGTTGGTGTCCATGTGAGTGCTGTGGTGTTTGCTGTGAACTCACACTGAAAGGGCATGTGAGGGAGTTGTGGCAGTGGGAACTCAGGTCTGGGCTGGCAAGGGGTATGACCCCTGGGCACTGTCTGGTCTGGTTATACAAGATTATCTTGTATCCTGGAAGTGTTTCTCTGAAGAAGCACTCAGTGTTGTAATGTAGGAGATCTACAACTAGCACCCTCTTCCCTAGTGACATGCAATCTTTCTGTTTTAGTGGTCTGAATTCTTGCACAAATACAGGTGTGATTAGAAACTCTGCTCTGAGACTGTTCTTGTGCTAGGACATGGGGGGTAGAGAGTGTCCTAGGAGCAGCATACTAGGAAGACCAGGCTGGGAACAAAGGGCCTTGTTGATAGTGTTGTTTCCCCCACTATAAAAAGTTTTCAAAACACAAGAACACAGGTGTTAAAGAAAGACTGGCCTCCCCTTGTCCACCACTGATCTTGAACCATGGCCCCTGTCAGGTCTTCAGGGCACTGTGGGTGGCCTCTTTAAGACTTGGTGCAGTGTTTGATGTTTCTGGCAGCTTCTGCAGGTCCTGGGTGGGAGCACCACCTCTGCTGCTGCTCCCTTGAATCCTGTCCCAAAGTCCCAAAGAGGCCCCAAGAAGAATGGCCTTCCTGGGCTTGTTTCCATGGGAAGGAGCTGCTTGGGGGCAGCTTCCTGTCAGGGTGGGTCCTCAGGAGGAAAAGGGGTCCAGTTTTAGCAGCGCTGAGCGCCTGCTCCCAGTGAGGAACATCCTTCCTGCCATGCAGGCCTCCTGATCACGTGCCACATAGCACACATCCCTCTGCCAGCTGGATACAGAGAGGAGATGATACGGTACCTGCGATCAGTACAGCTCCCCGATGGTGGCTGGGGCCTGTGAGTATACATGTGTGTGTGCATGCATGTAACCTTGGGTAGGTGTTGCTTGAGTTTCCAGGCGGCTATTGAAAGGTGAGGGGACTGCAGCTGTGGACCTGGGTGGAGAGGAGTAGGCTGGTGCTGGGCTTCATTTCACACCTGTGCTATGGCTGGGTTTCATGGCTGGTGGGGACTTCTGAGACATACATGCCCTATGAAAGCCACCTGGGTTTCATCATAGAAGAAAGTTGCCTTTGATTCTGGGGTGGTGGCAGATGCAGGTGGGCACAGCAGGCCTCATCCCAGTTTGCTTTCCTGGTTGGTGCACATTCTGGGAAGACAGCTTAGTCCTCCTGGGTGTGGTTCCCCTGCCACAGTGGACTTGGACAGACACATCCACTTGGATGGGAAGTGAGCAGAAGGGCAGATGGGTCCTGCTTGGGTACAGATCCTTCATCATGGGAGTTGAGCAAGCTCCTGGGGATAACTGAGTGGTACTTCCTGAGTTGTGATGTCATGTCAGAGGAAAGTATTTTCACATTCTTCCTTTTCTAGGCAAACTTCACTACCAGCATTACTATTTTTCTTGGAAGTGAAGAATGGAGGTCATTTTCTACCTTTGATCCTATAGGCACATTGAAGACAAGTCCACAGTGTTTGGGACTGCACTCAACTATGTGGCTCTCAGAATCCTGGGCATTGGGCCTGATGATCCTGACCTGGTGCGAGCCCGGAACGTTCTTCACCAGAAAGGTACAGGCTGCACAGCATGTGCGCATAATGGGTTTATGTGGCATTGGGTTGACAGGTTCTTGCAGGTGAGAATCAAAGACGTAGCTCTAGCTGAAACATTGGACAGAGTATGTGGACAAGAATGTATCGAAGCAAAAACATGTGGAAATGGTCAGCTCTTCAAATTAAAAAGACTTAATAATTCTGTTTGTGTCATGAATTGGCAAAGGGTTAAAAGCAACATGTTGATATGGTACTTGCAGGACATACCTTCTGGAGGCAGCCCAGCCATAGTCAGCTCTGGACTCTGATTCTCCTGGGGGCATTGGCTGCCTCTGCCCTTTCCTTTCGGTTTTGAAGGCCATTGCAGCCTTGGGCTGCTCTGAGAGCAAAGTGTAGCTCGCATTGTTGCAATGCAGAGCCTGATGTGGCCCTGCCCCTCACAGACTTCCTGCACCCCGTCCTCTCGGTCATGCTTTCTACTCCACGTGGAAGGGCCTCTGGTCAGCACCTCAGCCCCTTCCCTCCTCAGGGCTCGCACACGCCACATCCTTTCATTCTAACTCCTCCCCACCCTGTTGCCTTACTTATTCTTTACCTAGCATCTCAGTGTCTTTTTTTCATTTCTTCTTGCTCTCCCAGGCCAACTAAAGTGTCCTGTACACATTCTCATGAGACCCTGAATTCTCCCTTCAGATATTTGTCAGCCTTTGGTGGCAATGACTACAAGTCACAGGGTTACTGTCTGGGGCCCCAAGGTGCGCTTTCCTTCCTGGTGGAGGAATGAATTTGGGCCGTCCTTTGCCTGGTAGCTTCTTGAGTCTTTTTTGAATTTTGCACACCTGGGTTTGGGGTGGCCTCCTCATAAAACTTGTCCAAGTCAATGTTTCTATGTGCTGTGATGCGGGGCCATAAGTGTTGCATCTGCTCTGGATCTGGCCCGTTTTCACCTGTGCCGGACTATGTGTTAAGTATACATGGAACATATAGTAATACATGGCTGGGGCAGCTTAGGTTTGGTCCAGAGAGGGAGAAAAGGGAGTCCAGCTTCTCACACCCTCACCATCTTCTCCAGGCGCGTATAGATGTGGGCCATCATGGGTATCTGGGCCCATCTCTTGCCTGAGCAATGACACATCCCCCTTCTTCCTAGGTAGCTGCCTTCATGTGCTCCTTCCTAAGGGTAAGGGCTGCGAATAGCTCTCCTGTTGTTAGACGTGCTTGCTCCTGGGGAAGCCGTGGGTTCCACCCATCAGCTCTCATGTCCTGGGTGGCTCTGGACCCTGCTTCTCCTATGGGAGCTGCAGGATCTGTGGCAGGCTTCCCTCAGCTCACATAAGAAGGGGGACACGTAAGAGTTGTGAGCCAGTCTTCACAAGTAGGGTGGGCTCTGCTGACAGGACAGGTATGTGGGCCTTTTTCTTCCCAGGTGGTGCTGTGGCTATCCCTTCCTGGGGGAAGTTCTGGCTGGCGGTCCTGAACGTCTACAGCTGGGAAGGCCTCAACACCCTGTTCCCTGAGATGTGGTAGGCCTGCTTTCTGCTAGTGACACTTCCTTCTCTGGTGGAGTGATGGGGTGGGGGTGGGGGATCATGCTCCTAGCAGAGGCCTTTCCTATGCTGAGCCCCACAGATGGAGGGAAGGGGTTCCCTGCTGGACAGGAAGGGGGTACCAACTCAGGCTACAGGCCACATGTATGGCAGGTGTGGGGGTGCTGCTGGGCTGACTACAGAATCACATGACTCAGTAGGAAGCGTGGGTTTTATGGTGTAGACAAGAGGTCATATCTGATGGTTATGGGAAATCTTGAGCACCATACAAGAGTAGAGGAAAGACGTGCCCTTCACCCAGGCTCCGTGTTCAGGCAATCACTGTTCCTCTCTTTCCCCTTGTCTGGTTTATAGTGAATGCTTAGAAAGTTCAGAAACTGTTAGATGAGGGATGGGCCCAGATGAGCATGGCAGCCCATGTCTATATGCACCTGGAGAAGATGGTGAGGGTGTGAGAAGTCGGGCTCCCTTTTTACCCTCTCTGGACCAAGCCTAAGCTGCCCCAGCCATGTATTCCCACTAGACGTACAAGGTCCTGGGTTCAGTTCCTAGGACTTTGTGTGTGCTAGGCAAGCACTCTGCCACTGAGCTGCATACCCAGCCCTGAAGTGTGTTTTAACAGAACCACCTACCATTTGCCCAGCGGAGTCAATGTTAATGTTTCGAGAGATCTTGAAAGATAGTACCCTCTCCCTGGAAAACATTATTGGCATGTAAATTGCTCCTGGTGTTATACATATAGGAGATGAGGCCTCAGAACTGCACAAAGCCCAGGAAGAGCCCCTGCTGTCTTCCTGGGAGAGCTATGGGAACAGGTTGAGGGTCCTATGGAGGATGACTTTGGTGGGAGGAGGCAGGAGGGGAAGGGGGTGGCTCAAGAGTGAGCCTCAGGGTCCTAAAGCAAGGCCCGAGGGCGTAACACCACCCCAGGTTGAGTGGTGACAGGTGGGAGGGAGGGTAGACACTGAGTGACTGGGTTGGACAGAACTGCTTCTGCTGGGGACACCTGAGGTGTTCTGGGTCAGGCTGGCATTCAGTAACCTACTGTGGGCACCTGGCCAGGCTGGACACTCTCCTGTGTGAGGAGCAGGCAGAGGAAGGCCCTGGGGCAGAAGTGGGTGGCTAGCCTGTGTTCCCACACTAGGGGGCTCTATTGGTCAGTTCCAGGATCTGTAGTCACAACGTTGCTACAGATCTTTGCTGGAGTTGGTTTGGGGGTGGGTTAGAGGGTGAAGGGTGGGGTGGGATGGACCAGAGACCCTGAGCCACTCCCAATGCAGAAAAACTGGAAGTGCTATCCAGTTTTTGAGACGTGCTCTGGAGTGAGTGGACAGGCCCAGGAAGGGCAGAGGTGGCAGAGGCCTGGTGCTCTAGGTGGGGAGCTGGCAGGGGCACTCAGCTTGCGCAGCTTCCTGTGACTCTCCAATGCATAAGGATAGGGGCCAGAGGAGAGTGTGGGACAGCCAGGTGCATGCTGCCTGAGCAGCTGGAATGGCTAAGCTGGGAAAGCCCACAGGCCTAAAGTTTTGAAAATATACTTTTTAAAGTAACTTTAATTTGCAGGTAGTTTTCTATTTTTAGAAAAGTTGCACATATCCCAGGGTTCTGTAGACCCCCACTTCATTTCCCTTGTCTTGTGATACTGTGGGACTTAGAGGCAGGGCACATGAGCTCCGTGGAGGGTGAACACACAGGCCTGCTGCACCCTGGGGGCATAGCTATGAATGCCAGCATGCACCAGCATGGCCTTACAGCCATCTACTTGCTGCCCATGCTCTCAAGGGCCCTGGCCTTGAGGCTGGCAGGGGGTTGGGCTTGTGTGCTGGGGTCTGCCACTGACACATGCTGTCCCCTAGGCTGTTTCCTGACTGGATACCCGCGCACCCCTCCACACTCTGGTGCCACTGTCGGCAGGTCTACCTCCCCATGAGCTACTGCTATGCCATCCGGCTAAGCGCTTCAGAGGACCCACTGGTCCAGAGCCTCCGCCAGGTGAGTCCTCGGATCCTGAGGGACCTTGCCAGCCTCCAGAGCTGGGCTCCCCCTGGGATTTAACCACATGAACCCTCACCCATACTTGCAGTTTTGTCCTTGGAAGTGGCCCTGAGATGGGGTTGGACTGCAGAATGTATATTGGACTTTGCCCTTTAGAAGGAGGAGAGGGTGGGGAGGTAGCTCTCAGAGCTGGATAGCTCCTCAGTGGCTCTGGCGAGGCTGAGGCTGACAGTGGCCTGGCCTTCACACCCTGTCTTTTGTTGGGTATGCCCCACCTCAAGGTGCAGGTGAACCCTGAAGGTTGGTGGTTGGAGGCCACCCTGATTGGAGTTAGGTGGCCTCTGTTTCTGGGAGGCAGTCCTATACCCTCTCACCTCCAGTGGCTCAGATGACCCTGTCCCCAGGAGCTCTATGTGGAGGACTATGCCAGCATCAACTGGCCAGCACAGAGGAACAACGTGGCCCATGAAGAGCAGTACACACCACACAGCTGGCTGCTGCGCGTCACATATGGTGGGTGCCCTCCAAGGGGCCATTCATCATCCTCTTCCACTGAGCACCCTTCTTGCAGCCCTGCCCTGCACTATGGGGTGGGGTGCCCCTAAATGTCACCGCAGTGGAGCAGGGCAGCAGGAGATGTGAAGTAGCTCCTTCCTGCGGGAGGCAGTGGGTGTGCTGTGCAGAGCTGTGGGCTAGGCCGGCCTTGCTCTCTGCTGCCCACAGCCCTCCTCAACCTGTATGAGCGCTACCACAGCCCCAGCCTGCGGCGGCGGGCAGTCCAACTGCTCTACGAGCACATTGCTGCAGACGACCGCTTCACCAAGTGCATCAGCATTGGCCCGGTCAGTACCCTGCCCCTCCCCGTCTCTGTGGAACTGGGAGTAGGGGCTCTACTTGGGACAAGACCTGGTCTCAAATGTGTGGAGGATTCCTGTCCTCACCCCTGTGCCCTGGGCTTGGTGAAGCTGCCACCTAGGCACAGTCTGCCCTCCTACCTGCATGTAGACGCCTGCTCCTTGAGGCTACCTGTGCTTTTGAGCCAGCTTTTCCTCTCCTGTCTCCTTCCTGGTCCCCACCCCAGATGATCCACACCCACCCTGTGGTTGCAGGGTTTGAGGCGCCCTAGGATGGCAGCCGCAGGGCCCTTGCTTTTTCCTCGCTCTCTCCACTGTTCTACCACATGCCTTGCCTTCACAGCCTGCTCTGCTTCCTGGGGCTGGGGGCTGGTGGATACTGGTTATATGCATACTTAGGGACCTTAAGGAGCATAAGGCAGCTCTATATGCCCCATGGTCAGGGCATACTGACCAGAGGAGATGGGACTGGTGGGGAGCCAGATGAAGGCAGGCTCACAGCTAGCAGACAGTAGGGGTAGTGAGGTGGGCTGTGATGGCCGCCACTCTTCTGAGGTGGGCCAGCCCCATAGGGTCTAGATAAGCCCCTGATGGTGCCTAATCCCTTCTTCACACCCCCTGCTGCTGGTGACCTCAGCTGACCCAGCTCCTGTTAATACAGAAGGGTCCTGCTGGGCCCTGGGGTGTGTTTGGGCAGGCCCTGATGGCTATATCTCCCATAGATCTCAAAGACCATCAACATGCTTGTGCGCTGGTCTGTGGAAGGGCCGGCCTCCTCTGCTTTCCAGGAGCATGTCTCTAGGATCCCAGATTTTCTCTGGTGAGTGCGGCTGGGAGGTGGCAATGTTGGGTGCTGACTGCAGACACACAGGGTGATGTAGGATCACCCCTCAGTGTCCAGTGAGGGGCGCTGGGTGCTTGGACCCAGGAGCTCTGGTGAGGTTGTCTTGGGGAAGATCCGCCACCTAGCAGCAGTTGGGGCTGGTCTGGAAGGCTGAGCCAGGAAGCTGTGGACGGATGGGAGCGAGTTTGGATTGGTGTGAAGAAGCTTGTGGACCTATGGGCCTGTCGACTTGGACTGTCCTCTGAGGTGGGACAGTCAGGGGACCTTGGTAGGAAGCCCTGTGCTCCTGAGGCCATCCTCCCTCATGCTGTGCTGTGTGAGGACCAAAGGGATGACCTGGTCTCAGGGCCTTGCATGCCCCCTGCTGGGGAAGCTGTTGACTTCTTTCCTGCCGTGTGTGCCCTGTGCCCCTGAGCCCAGCTGGGCAGCACCAAGGCCACTGGCAGGTCTCAGGGATGGGCATGGGTGCTCTGGGCCCAGGCTCCCTCCCAGTGTGGCCGTCACTAACTGGTGCCCTCCCGCTCCCTGCTTGTCTCACACGGGCTTCTCGTCTTCACAGGCTGGGTCTGGATGGCATGAAAATGCAGGTAAGGGCTGGGGGCTGCAGCTGCTGGTTTCTCTGCAACAGTCTTGCCCTTTATTTTTTATCCTTTTGGGCTCACTAAGACTCAGAAGTAGTCTTCCCCAGGATCAGTCTGGCAGTGGGAGGAGAAGCTGCCCTGCAGTCCTCGTGACTGTGCAGGGCCTTGGGAGCTTCCTGGGCACCACACATTCTTGCACATACATCTATAGCATCAGTGTTTGCTCTTGGCCCTGTTGGTCAGGGCGGCTTAGCCCTCCAACAACGTGGCTCAGACCCTGCAGACGTTCCCGTCCATTACTGTGACGAGAGGGTGGCTCTGGTTGGTGTGGGACTCTCTCCATGTGGTTGTTCCTCTGGCAGGTCTCTGGGAGCTCTGTGTCCTCAGCTCCTGGATCATTCTGGGGAGTCTTTCTCTGCAGTCCTGGGTAGAGGAGAAGCCTGTGGGTCGGTGGGGTGTGGCCAGCCGTGGCTCTGCAGGAACCCAGAGTGTGGGTGGGGACACGTGTGGCTACCACCCAGGGAAAGGAGAAGGTATTCTTTGGACATAGCACATGGCATGTGGACAGTGTCTTTCCAGGTTCTTCCTGGGTCTCTGGTTGATAGATGGATAGCAGATGTGTTTCTTTCTGGGCAGAGGGGGGCTGATTTTGGTCCTTGGCCCCTGATGAGTCCAGGGAGAGCTGGGGGCCTATGACTGCCCTGTGGGGTGAAGCCTAGGCTTCTGTCAGACATTTTAGAGATCCCTGAACAAACTCACTGGGATTTGGCCACCTGCCTCCTGTAGTGAGACTGGGGTATTGTCTGGAAACCAGTTCTCAAGGTGGGATTTGAAGGGGGCCTTCCAGCTAAAGTTGGTGTCTCTGTTGGGTTCCCCTACTCCAGGTGTAGTAGGAAATGGGGAGTGTTTCTGATTGTTCCATGACGGGGTACACTGCTTTTATGGGAATAGAGGAGCCCTTGAGGGACTGTGGGTTTTAGAAGTGCAGTGAGTGGCTGGGGCCTGTGGAAGCAGGTGGGTCTTCCTTACCCATTCCTGTCTGCAGGACCTTGTGCTCTCATTGGCTGTGAGGGTGCCCAGGTCTCAGAAGTTGGTGTGGGTGTCAGCAGGGCAGGAGCCTCTGACCCCCTCAGATCCTGGGATGTGGAAGGTGGAGTGGGTGCTGCTGGTGGTTTCTGCCACCGCTCTTCCTTTGTGTTTAGGGTACCAATGGCTCACAGATCTGGGATACCGCATTTGCCATCCAAGCTCTGCTTGAGGTATGTGACTATCTCCTTTGCACCCTCCACCTAATTTCCTGTGTGCACAGACCATGTGTCCACCTAAGGGGCCTAGCACAGCTTAGCTTAGCCTGGCTCCAGAGTGTGACATTGCTGCAGAGGTGCTGGCCCTGCCATAGGGAGCCATAGGCAGGTGACCCCTGAGCCGGTTGGTTTGGGGCCTCTAGAATAAGTACAAGTACAAGCTTGTACAAGTTTTCAGGCATGTGCTGGGGAAGAAAGAGGGTGCCTCTGTGCTGAAGGCACAGAGGGGAAGTGAAGGACGTTGGTGGAATCCCGCACAGATGTTGGCCCTGGCATCTGTGGGATCACCCTTCTGACCAATTCTTCCTTTGTCATGACTCTCTGGTCTTTTAGAGGTCAATGCAGCGGGAAGCCCTAGCTAGCACTCTCTGGAGACTGTCAAGGTGACTGTCCGTGGGGGCGGGCTGTCACCAGGTTAGCTGGGAACTGGCTCAGCCATGCTGTCCTGCTGTCTCCCAGGCAGGCGCTCACCACAGGCCAGAGTTTATGTCCTGCCTGCAGAAGGCACATGAGTTCCTGCGGCTGTCACAGGTGAGGCCCGTGGCTCTTCGTCCCTCTTCCCTGCCTCCCAGGCTGGTTTCTCAGTCACCCCCACCCTGCCCTTTCTAGCCCCTAGGTCTCCTCTGTCCACCCTAGTCACCTTAGGGCAGCCCTTGCCATAGCCGGCAGTGGCCCATCACCACCAGCTGATAGCTTCTGCCTTCATGCTGGTGTGGCCGTGTGCAGAGGCTGGCTAGCCCATGTGTTATCAGGAGCTGCCTCCCTGAGCCCTTCATCCTGTTCATGCCCCCAGCACATTTGAGGCATCCCATGCCAGTGGAGGACTCTAACCAGTGGCATTCCTCCCGAGACCATGCTACCATCTGTCCTGCTAGATCAGTCATGCTACCCTAAGTCTCCACTTGGATGTTTTCAGTGTCTCTCACTCTTGCCTGCCACCCCATTTTGCAGGCCCCATCATGTCTTGCTCTCCTGTGCTAGCCCCCCATACCTTGCCCTCGGGTAGCGCCCACGGAAGCTACTTCCAGCCTTGGTTCCAATGGCGACCCCTACCTGGAGCGCCTACCTGGAGTGCCCTGCCTCTTCTCAGATCTCACTAGGATGCTGCTTCAGGGGGCCTTCATGTGGCCACGATCTGTGACTGTCTAGGCTGGTGGAGCTGTTTGCACTGCACCTTTCCTACAGCAGAGCCTGCTTCTGGGTGCTACCCAGAAATACACTGAACAGAATGTAGCACACACACACAAACCCGTTTGTGTTCCCACCAAGCTGAGCTGTTGGCTCAGGAGTTGAGAGTCTGTGTGGCTGGGACTTCAGAGTGGATGTCCAGCTTTTTGGTTGAGCCTCTTGCCCAGCAGTGGCAGCCATGGCTGTGGGCTACACAGCTTTGCCTCATGTGCCTTGCTGCACTGGTGGTGGCAGAGGCTGGCTGGAACTCTGGTTCCCAGACAGTAGTGTGGCCCTGTGGCCATGTGCCTGTCCACTTTCTACATGTGCTGTCCATTCTGCCCAGGTCCCCGACAACCCTCCTGACTACAAGAAGTACTACCGCCAAATGAACAAGGTACGTTTGGATAGCCCACCCACACCCCAGCTCAGCTGGTCCTTCCCTTTGAGGAGAGCTCTCTCTGGGTCCTCAGCCTTCCTGTTCTGCAGATGCCTGGTGTGGGGACCAGTGCTTGAGTCGCCAAGGCTGTGGGGCAGTCCGTGCACACATGTGGCCATGCCTCGGGGCAGTTGGTGGCATAGTACACACAGAAGTTGAGTAAAGGGCTGAATGTGAGCCAGAGTGTTGAGGGGAAGGCAGAGGGAAGAAGGGATGCAGAGCTGGTGCTAGGCTCCCAACTCTAGGTACAGGCTGTGGACCTGAGGCTTGCCTTCTTATAGTGTATGGACAGCCGCTGCCTTTTCATGGCATTGAAATCCTGTGTGGAGATCTGAGAGTGCCCAGCGTAGGGCTTCAGCCTTGGGGCTCCCTGTGCTAGAGCTGTAGGTCTGTCCAGATGGACAGTGATCTGACTGGTGACTCTGAGAGAGGCCAAGGCAGGGGAGCTCATGTTCCCACTCTGCAGGGCGGCTTCTGCTTCAGCACTCTGGACTGCGGCTGGATTGTCGCTGACTGCACAGCCGAGGCCTTGAAGTCTGTGCTGCTCCTGCAGGAGAAGTGTCCCTCTATCACCCAGCACATCCCCCGACAGAGGCTCTGCGATGCTGTGGCTGTGGTGAGGCTCTGCCCCATCCCGCCAGGACACTCTGATCTCTCTCCACCCCCAGGGCTCAGCTGATGCCAGCTGTGGAAGCGGATGCTCAGGTGACCTTGGAACCCTGGCTGGCCCATGAGGCCTGGTTGGCTGTGTGCACAGAGCCCTGTGCTGCAGGAGCTGGTGCCTGCCTGGCCACGGGTCCAAGGGAAGCCATGTGGCTCCTGCCCCTTCTCTGAGTGCAGGACCTGCTGTGCATCCATGTGAGCCTCCTTTGGGAGGGATGTGGTCCTTTCTGGTGCAAGAAAGAAAGATGAGAGCTTCTGCTGGTTTTGTGCTGTCCTCTGAGCAGCCTGGTTCTTCTGTACCTCTTGGAGCTCTGCACCATTCCAACACTGATGTGACTCTTGAGTTGATGAGCACCTGTCTCTGGGCGGCTATGTGAGGCCCTGACTGCTGTGGCTGTAGCACTGTACCAGGCACCCAAGGGCTTGCCCAGCATGCACACCATCTCCCTGTCCCCTTTCTCATTCCTGGTTTTCAGCCCTGGGGTGCTTCTAGAAAGCTCATCTTGGCCTGTGGACTCTGAGCATGCTCTTGGTTTCAGCTGTTGAACATGAGGAATCCTGACGGAGGATTCGCCACCTATGAGACCAAGCGTGGGGGGCACTTGCTGGAGCTGCTGAACCCATCTGAGGTCTTTGGTGAGTGTCTGACCAGAAGTACAGTGCACAGATCTGGGCCCCAGGTGCTGGCAGAGCCTGAGGACCTCTCCCTAGTTGGGGTGGCAGGGTGCTTGGGTTTTGGATGAAAGGGCTGTGGCTCTGTCTTGGGGCCACTGGTGGAATTCTCACTGGACTCCCTGGCTCAGCCTGGCTGGCTCTTGATTGTGCAAATTTGCTAATGTGGAACTGCTATGCATCTTCAGAGGCTTCATGGTGCTCACGGCACTTGTGGCACTGTGTGGGAGCCTGTGGTGTATGCCGTGGGCTGCTGGACCAGGTCTGCATGCTGCTGTGCTCTTGAGTGACCTTGGGGCACCTGCTATACACCTCCTTGGTGGCCTCTGTCATCTCACTCCTCAACCTGTCAAACTTTGGGGGAGGGATGCAGCTGTTTTCTGTGTGTCCCTTGTCCTGGGCAGCACCCCTCTTTGCCCTACCTTGTATACCTCACAGCTGAACAAACCTTGCTTGGGCCCTGAACCACGCAGCCTGAGCCACAAGAGGGTCCTGCCTAGGCATCGGGTCTGCATGCTGTGCTGCCCTTGCTGATGGTCACTTGGACTGGATTGTGGGTCCTGGGCAGTGCGGCAAGTCACAGGCCTCGTCCCCCCTACCCCTGCCAGGGGATATCATGATCGACTACACGTACGTGGAGTGCACCTCGGCAGTGATGCAGGCACTGAGGCTTTTCCACAAGCACTATCCAGACTACAGAGCAGTGGAAATCAGGTGAGGAGGGCCTAGGCTGGAGACGTCATTCTCTGACATAGGCCTAGCTACCTACGCCGGGCTGCTGTGGAGAATGGACTGTCTGAGCATGGGGATTTCTGTGGTCCCTGCATTCAGCAGTGCGTGTGAGGGGCTGAGGAACCCTCAGCCGTAATTCAGAAGGGTTGTGATTCTCCTCCTTTCCTCCCCCTCCAGCTTCCCGTTGTTTGCTTCAAGCTGCTGCCTGTGGCATCCTGCAGGCGCACCATCCCATTCCTGGTGTGTGTGAGTTGGGGACAATGGCAACTGTTGGCTGAGTGCAGTTGCCACATCCCCCCACCGCCCCCTGGTCCCCGTGTATTATGAACACTTGCTCCTGGTCCTTTTTCTTGAGCTGAGGCCTCACTGTGTTGCCCAGGTTGGCCTTGGCCTCTGTAGCTGGACTAGAGGCATGCACCACTATGCCCAGCTTCAATGTCTGTTTTTATGAAACATCCTTCTGTGAAAATTCTGTACTTGTTTTTGGAGGCACATGGGTACCCACTCTTGTGGGTGTGGGCATAGGTGTGGCATTGCTGTGTTCTAGGGTCATTACAGGGCACGCAGATTCTGCAGGTTCTTTGCTTATTTTCATTGTTCTGTCTTTTTTTTTTTTTTCTTACTGGTGATTGAACTCAGGGGCACTCGCCCACTGAGCCCCATCCCAGCCCTATTTTGTATTTTATTTAGAGACAGGGTCTCACTGAGCTGCTTAGCACCTTGCTAAGTTGCTGAGGCTGGCCTTGAACTCTTGATCCTCTTGCTCAGCTTGCCCAGCTGCTGGGATTACAAACGTGTGCCACCGTGCCTGGCCAATTTTTTGTTTTTGAATGTTAAATCTGATATAGGTCAACTTTGCCAAGGTGTATTGTTCTTTTATATTGCAGAATTTAATTTAAAGAATGTTTTGTTTAACATATTCACATCTGTGGTTATGGGAGAAACTATAATTTTGTTTCTTTTAATGTCCTTATCAACTTCTGTTAAGATAATGTTGGACTCATAAAGCCAGTGAGAATGCTTTTGTGTATACTCTTTGGAAGAATAAGTAATAATGCCATGTTTATACTATTTCTCCCTTATATGTTTGTAACGATTCACTGAGAATCCATGTGGGCCAGAGTTGTCTCAGAGATTTTCTTTTTATCTTTATTTATTTTTATGAGGTGCTGAGAATCGAACCCTGTGCCTCATGCATGCTAGGCAAGTGCTCTACCACTCGATCCACATCCCCAGCCCTCTTGTCTCAGAGATTTTTAATTGTAGATCTGCCTTCTCTGATGGAGGGCTGTAAGGACTGGGTGCTCTTCGCATCAGTGTGGGGATTTCCATCTCAGCTGGTGTGGGCCATGGCCCAGTTGTCCCACTGTCCCACTTGAGCACTTCATGTCCTTCCTGACACTTGCTGAGCCTTTGGAAGAAGCCATCGTTAGTCTTCAGTTCTGCCCAGGATGTCTGTTTATTTCTCATCTGTTTCTGCTCTTGATTACTGTCTCTCTTCTTTGTTTTTCTAACTTGGATACTTAGATAAGTGACTTTCGGGTTTCTTCTGTTTGAACACGCAGCTGGTGCTGGGAATAAGTTTTGAGCTATCACTTGGTTAAAAGTTCTTCTCTGGCCCCTGAGTCATTCAGGAGTATGTTCTGAGGATCTTGGTGCAGGCCCTGAGCACCAAGGCAGCTTCTGTCCTGACAGGCAGGTGCAGCTGTGTGGAGCGCGTGGCCCTGTTCTGGTCACCCAGGCCGAACATCCAGGCTGGTACCGCCCTTGGCCACATGATGCTCCGCTGTTGATGTGGCCCTTACTCCTGAGCTCTAGTTGTCTTAGCTGTGCTCTCTGGATGGACCCTTCTTATTAACTCATCATCTTTTAAGAATTAAACTGAAGCATGTTCTTTAAAGAAGACTTAGAACAAACAAAAGTGTAAAGAAGAAAGGAAGCTATCCCCAGTGGCTGGGAAAAGAGCCAGCCACTCCTCTGGTCCTGGGAGGGTGTGGCTCTGTAGTACTTCCCATGGGCCTGGTGACCAGAGCTGTCCTCAGCATGCATGGCAGTGGGCACGGCTGTCCCACGGGTGACCTACTCAGTAGCCTCTGTGCTCCTGGTCTCGACCTCTGCCTTCCAGCTATCCTTTTTACCCGTCACTAGATTCTCCCATTAGGCATTGTCTGTGACATCCTTACCCTCCAGCTCTCCCACTGCCTGGGCCCCATGTGGCTATGAGGCGGGTAGTACATGCAGGGAGCACTGGTTGGAGCCCTCTGTCCTCAAGTGCACAGAACACATCTGTCCTCTGTGCCACGTCCACTCAAATCCTGGCCTGAAGTTTTGCTAGGATGGATTTTCTTCTTGATGACATGTTTTAAGTTTAGTAAATACTTCTGGGTCTTATGTTATAGATATTTTTCTCCAGTTCCTTTGTTCTTTTTGTCTTTTCAGGGATATGAACATTTGCCTTCGATTTTTTGCTTTTGTTTTTTTGGTACTAGCGATGGGATCTGGAGTGACCTACCACTGAGCCACATCCCCACCCTTTTTAATTTTTATTTTGAGACAAGAGTCCTAAGTTGCTGAGGCTGGTTTGAACTTGTGAATCCTGTTCAGCCTCCCAAGTCACTGGGATTACAAGTGTGTGCCACCATGCCTTGCCGTACTCTCTGTTTTTTAAATGGTCAAACATATATGTCTAATTTGTTTATTGTAATTTTTTATTTATTTCAGGAATGTCTGAGATACAGTTTGAGGTTGGCAGTTACTCTAACACTATGTGGAATATTCCATTACTACCACACTTTGTCAAACTTCTCCCTTGATTTCACTGTTACGGGAAAGTTACAAAGCAGCAGGAGGTAGACCTGCTTTTCCTCTGTCCCTTAATTGTTCGAGTCTTTTGTTTGCTCCTCTTGTTTCCCCAGTGTGGCTGAGAGGGATGGTGTGCTGTGCTTGCACCAGCCCACAGGCAAGTGCCTTCGAGGGAGTCAGCTGAATGCCACTAACCTCAGCCCTTGTTGGGCCGCTGTGTGCCAGGTCCTTACAGCACAGTCTTCTCCCAGCTCCAACTGGGCTATCTGGCCTGCCCTCTCCGTCTGGGCAGGTCTTTGGTCTTGGGCTTGAAGGGAAGTCGTGTTGCAGGGTGAATTCAGCATGTGCTGCTGTGGTGGGACTCGGCCAGGCTGTGGAAGGTACCTTCCATCACAGCTGAGAGGCGCCTTGGATCCTGTGCAGGCTGCTTCTCCAGGGCTCCCCTCGGTGTGGGCCTGCGGTGCTTTTCCTCCTCCCTAACGTGTGTGGCCTTGGTGCCATCACTGTCCCTTCACATTGACGGACGTTGCTCTAACAGCTTTTCTCTCCTTTTGATTGCTTATTATCTCGTGGCCTTTGATTTTGATATGATCGTGTAACTAGATGGTTTGTTAGACTTAAAACATTGATACACTTTATTTAGCGTATTTAGATTTATAGAAGAATTGAGGGAAGATGGAGTTTCCCCACTGCCAGCCTCCCCCCAGGTTTCTAGTGTCCACATTGAGCCCTGAAGTGGCATGTTGTTGCAGCTGATGGTGGTTGACATTGGGCTCCCCCTTCATGCCAGCATCCTCTGGGTGTTGACAAAGTACAGTGAGTGACACATGTCCACATCACGTCTAGAGCTGCTCCGAAAGCCCCTGTGTTCTCCTGGGCACCCTGCCCTGCCTCTGGCAGCTCCAGTTTTGCCAGCAGCATGTACTGTCCAGCCTGGCCTGTCACTCACAGGGTGCAGTTGGGGCCTGCATATCTTTCACTGTGTGGTAACGTGTTTCATTTCTTTCCCCATTTTTCTCTTCTGCCATGCTGGGAGCCATGTCCAGGGCCTCACGCTTGCTGAGCATGCCCTCCACCTCTGCGCTGCTTTTCAGTGCTGGACCGTGCTCCCTTGTTGGTATACGTTGTTTTTCTATCCTGTCATCTACAAGTGTGCTGTTTGTTCCTAGTTTGGCAATTACAAGTAAAGCTGCCATGAGTGGTTAATGCCAGGAGTGTGGTCACAAGGCTGGACTGTGTTGTCTTGTGAAAAACCACAGGCTGTCTGTGGAGTCCTTCTGCATTTCCACCAGCTATGAGAGGGAGTCCTGCTGCACACCCTCGCCAGCCTTGGCGTTGTCAGGGGGTCCGCTGGTGGAGTGGTGTGGGTTTTCCCTCAGTCCCCATGGTGCAGGGTTAGGTGTGTTTTCCCCTCGTCTGGGTAGTTTTCTGTGGAGCTGTACGTGAGTGACTGAGGTGACTGTGTTCCTGCAGCTTCTCGGTGCATTTGCCCTTGCCTTTGTCCGGTTTCAGCCTGGTGAGGACCATCTTCTGTTGCTCCTTCCAGTGTGATGGCGCTTTTCTTCCTGCCAGCCTGACAGCTCTGCCAGTTTGCTGGCTCTTGTTGAGTTCTCGAGCAACTTCCTCATCCCCTCAGAAGGGCACAGGCCAACCGCTACGTCCATTTCAGTTCTTTGGGAAGTGGACTGACTGCAAGATCCTCCTGTGCACATGGCAGGGCCCCGAGGCCTGAGCTCCCTCTTAGTCAGGGCCTCTTCAGCAGCGGCATTAAGGGGAAAGCTGGTTGTCTGTTTTGTCTTTTCTGTACTGGAGTGTAACCGAGAATCTTACACGTGCTAGGCAAGTGCTTTACCACTGAGCCACATCCCCTGTCCTTTTTATTTTTATTTTGAGACAGCCTCACTAAGTTACCCAGGCTGGCTTTGAGCTTGCGATCCTCCTGCCTCAGCCTCCTGAGCTGCTGGGATTGCAGGCCTGCACCACCATGCTCACTTGTATATCTGTTTTTTGATGAGGTATCTGTTAAGTCTTTGGCCTGTTTTATAGTTGAATTGTCTGTTTCCTGATTGTTGAGTTCAAGGTTTTGCATGTATTGGTGCCAGTTTTTTTTTTAATATTTATTTTTTAGTTGTAGGTGGACAGAATATCTTTTTTTTATGTGGTGCTGAGGATTGAACCCAGTACCTCACATGTGCTAGGCAAGCGCTCTACCACTGAGCCATCACCCCAGCCCTAGGTGCCAGTTTTTTTTTATCAGATGTGCTTTCTTTTTTTTTTTTTTTTTAAGAGAGAGAGAATTTTAATATTTATTTTTTAGTTTTCTGCAGACACAACATCTTTGTTTGTATGTGGTGCTGAGGATCTAACCTGGGCCGCACACACGCCAGGCGAGCACGCTACCGCTTGAGCCACATCCCCAGCCCCTATCAGATGTGCTTTCTGCAAATATTTCCTTCCACTCTAGCTTGTCTTCATTTTATTGAGAATATCTTTTTTTTTTGGTACCAGGGATTGAACCCAGGGGCACTTAACCATTGAGCTACATCCCTAGCTGTTTTTATTTTTTTATTTTGAACAGGGTCTTTCTAAGTTGCTTAGGGCTTCAATAAATTGAGGCCAGCCTTGAACTTGCCATCCTCCTGCCTCAGCTCCGGAGTTGCTGGGATTACAGCATGCACCATTGTGCCCAGCTGTTGATCTTTTGCAGAGCTGAAGTTTTCTGTTTTGGTGACATCCATCTCATCAGTGTTTTCACTCATGGATCCTACTTTTTGGTGTTGTTTTTACTTTTTTTCTTTTTCTTTTTTTTTTTAGTACTGGGGATTGAATGCAGGAGTGCTTATGCTTAACTGCTGAGCACCCCTTAGCCCTTTTTTATATTTTATTAAAGTCAGGGTCTCACTGAGTTGCTAAGGGCCTTGCTAAGTTGCTAAGGCTGACCTTGAATTTGTGCTCCTCCTGCCTCAGCCTTGTGAGTCGCTGGGATTATGGGGGTGGGGTGGGCATGTGCCTCCCCTGCTGGTGTCCTATTTAAAAAGTAATTGCCAAACAGGGTGTGGTGGCACATACCTGTAATCCTAGCTCCTTGGAAGCTGAGGTAGGAAGATTCCAAGTTCAAGGCCAGCCTTAGTTAAACTTATTGAGACTTTAAGCAAATTAGTGAGAATTTATCTCAAAATAAAAAAGGGCTTGGGATGTAGCTCAGTTCTCCTGGGTTCAATCCAATACCAAAAACAAAACAAAATTATGGGGAAATAAAAAGCATTTGCCAAGCCCCAGTTACCTAGGTTTTCCTGAATAGAACTGGGGCTTTGTTTCTACTTGAATCTTATAGACAAATATTTAATCTCTCTGTGCCTGAGTGTATGTGCCTACTTGAAAACAGAGGCAGGGCCTAAATTCTGTTTTCCCTCACCATGTCTAACATCCACACAAACCCCCTACACCAGACTCTGCTCTAAAATATTTATTCCTCTCAACCCTGACAAAGCGGGAGATGCTTGTGGCCTTCATTTAGCAAGGTCTCAGGACTGTAAGACTCCTGGTTATTGTAGTCTCATGGAGAGTCTATGGGGCAGGTTCAGTCCTCTCACTTGATCTGCCTTCAGCAGTGTTGGCTGTTCTGAGTTTTTGCCTTTCCAGATAAATTTTGGAATCCAAAATAACCTACTGGAATTTTGCCCACGGCAGGAAGACCTTTGACTTCTTCCGTCAGAGTTTGTGGTGCTGTCGTGTGGATCCTGTGCGTGGTTTTGCCAGGCTTACACTGGATCATTTTGTGTTCTGGTGCTCATGCATGTGGCTCTGTGCTGGGAATGTGGACTCTAACTGCCCTCTGCCAGCAGGAGGCCCGGTGGCGTCCTGCAGCCTGCAGTTGTTGCCATGGACTCTTGGGGATTTTCTGCACAGACAGCCTCGTCTCCTGGGCACAGACTGTTTTGTGTCTCCCTTGTCTGTCGCAGTGGCTAGGACACACGGCACAGTGTCCCCTGGGGTTGTGTGGGCTCCTGACCTGTCCCAGGCTCAGCCAGAAGTTTCTGGTGTCTCACCATTTAGTGCCACGCTTGCTGTGGGCTTCTGTAGATGTTCTTGATTCAGCTGAGGAGGTTCTTCTCTTCCTCGTTTGCTTAGAGTTTCATCCTGAGCACATGTTGGATTTTGTCAAATGCTTTTTCTGCATTGGTTGATCGTGATTTGTTTTTCTTTCTAGTGTTTTTTGTTGTTTTTTTGTGGTGCTAGGGGTGGAACCCAAGCAAGTGCCCTGCCGTGAGCTGCATCCGCCCATCGTGGCCTTTCCTCTTGTCTGTCTGTGCAATGGGTTGCCTTGACTGGTCTTCAGAGGGGGAGCCAGCCTTGCTGCACCTGAGGTAGATCCTGGGTGCTGGCCCCACGGACCGTGTTGGCGACGGCCCTCTGGAGACTTGGTGGAGTTTCTTCCCTGAGTGGTGGAGTTTGCTGGTGAAAACGTCGGGGCAGACCCCTCCCCTGATGACTTCCTGAGCTTTCCCTGTGGATGATCATGTCACTGGCAAGTGACTTCATCCCTCCCTTGCTTTTGGTTTTAAAACTGGATCTATAGTCCTCAAAAGCCATATGAATGAATGTAGTGTGAGGAGCTTAGAGACGTTTCCTCCCTGTTGGTCCCCAGCACTGCTGCCTTCCTTGACCGGCTGCCCTGGCTGAGGCCTCTAGGGTGCTCAGAAGTGGGAATGGTGGAAGCTTTGCCAGGTTTCCTGCTCCGGGAGAGAGCTGCTGTGTCTCTGCGGGAGTGGTACTGGTGGAAGCTTTTGGCATCGGCCTTTTCAGTTGAGGAATGGCTTTTCCTGTGGACCTGTGAAGTGTGCTTCTCTCCGATTCGAGCAGGTGTTGAGCTTCAGCCTCGACTAGAGGGTCCTCTCTGCCCCTTACTCATTGGTGCTGCAGGGGGCTGCAGTGCAGACCTTGGCAGGCCTGACCGAGCTGGTCCCCTCTGCATAGTTAGAGGCCCATCTCCCCTTCTGTTCTGGGGAGAGTCCACATGACAGTAGGATGGACATTCTTGATGACTGAGTAGAGTTTACTAAAAAGCCGCTAGGAGTTTTCTTTCTGGGAGAAGTGTGCACTTTGACTCCTGTTTGGTACGTCTAGGACTCCAGGCACTCTTTCTCAGGCAGTCTTGGTGTTGCGTCCCTATTGTTTTCCCCTGGAGTCACCTCCCTCTCCACTTCTGATACTGCTTATGGACTCTGTGCACATTCACTCCCTGGTACCAAGCAGCAGGGTGGCCACAGGCTTTGCTGTGGCATGGACAGACATGGACAGCACACTGTATGGTTCCTTTTCTGTGGGTCTAGCCAGGCGCAGCCTAGGAAGTCCCCTGCTTCAGAGATGTCAGCCTGGGGCCAACCAGGGCTGGGCCTTGTACCAGCACCAGTGGGGGATCCGCCTCTCAGCATGTGCTCGTGGGCAGGATCCCACCTTGTGGGTTGTCCAAGGCTGGAAGCTGCCATCTGTCCCCTGATGCGGGGGCCTCTGGTGGCTTGTGAAAGCTAGCAAGGGAGAGAGCCTATGAGAGAGAGCCTGCTGGTCCTTCTCAGGGACAGGTCATCACAGGAACATGGTCCGATCTGCTGCAGCTGCCCTTTAAAGACAAGGCCGGCTCTGCAGGACTGCCTGGCGTGCGTCCTAGAAGAGGGTCAGCCTTGTGGAGGGCCTGTTGTTCTTCAGCGGGACCACCAGGTGTAGAGCTCACCTTCTCAGCCTTCTAAGTCCATCGTTTCCTCTATAACCAAACTTTCTCTTCTTTTTTCTTATGCTATGCTGAGGCTTGTGGTGTGGCGATGACGTTGTCTGTGGCCGATCTCCCATTCACCCTGTGGGACAGGCCCAGGCCTATGGCTGACAGCGTGGACCGAGGCCGATCCTGTTATTGGCTGCACCCAGCACAGGCCTCATCCCCAAGGCCTTCCTCTTGCCTCTCTTTCTGAAGCTCTGACCATCTGCTTCCCCCCTCCTGTGTCCTGTGGCTGCTGCTTTTCCTACTGTCAGAAGGTCGTTTTGACTGTTTTCTAAAGGAAAGCCTGCTCCCTCTCAGGAGAGCGTGGCTTGGGGCGGGCACTGTGCTTTTGCTGGGTGCTTATTGGGCTCCGCCTATATTCCAGGGAGACACTGGAGCAGGGCCTGGCGTTCTGTCAGCAGAAGCAGAGGGCTGACGGCTCCTGGGAGGGGTGAGTCAGCACCTGGCCTCTGGGGTGTGGTGGAGGGTGGGGCTGGGCTTGCCCACTGGCTTCCTGCTTGTTGCCAGGCTTCTCTTGTGTGCGTGCCCATGCTGCCTGTTGTAGGGCCGTTGGCTCTGTGTGTGGAAGTGCTCTGTGGTCTGAGTGTGATGGCTTCTCCTCCCTGGCCATGTCACTGGGGTCTCCCCAGTCCACCTAGGGGGGCAGCAGCTGAGCCAGGTGGGCACCGCCTCTTATGCCCACACTGTCCCTGTGTCCCAGGTATGGGACTATAAATCTTCACAAGCTCCTGTACCTGGATGCTGGACCCAGTGGGCTGCAACCTCATGCCAGGGCCTTGCAGGTGGTGCAGCTCATTTAGGGACATGCGGATACTTTTCCTGGCCCAGCCCCGCCCTTTCTGTTCAAGGACACCCCCTCCTCCAGGGTGAGAACCTGAGGCTGAGGCCCTCTCCCCTCTCTCTCCAGTTCCTGGGGGGTTTGTTTCACCTATGGCACCTGGTTTGGCCTGGAAGCTTTCGCCTGCATGGGGCATACCTACCGTGATGGGTGAGTGCAGCTGTGGGGCCATTGGCCCTCTGTGTGGTGTTTTCCCCTTTGATGTTTGATTTTGGGATCTCTTAGTATTTTTAAACAGTGAGATAAGAACAGCATCCCAGAAAATGTGAATCCCAGGTTGAACAAAGATGTTTCCCTGGCTTGGGAGCCTTTGGCTAGGGGCCACCTCAGAGTTTTCCAGAGGTGATCCCACACCTTCCCTGTACATACCTGCTCCCCAACCAGTAGGAGGGCTAGGGTCCAGGACATTCACTGGGCCCTGCTGAGAGAGGGGTGAAGCCTTGGGTCCAAGCCCTGTCTCTGACTGCCCCACCCAGCCCTTCTGGATCCAGTGAGCTGCAGGGGTGGAGTGTGCTAGGCCCTGTGCTTGACGGGATACCACCCAGGTGTTCCTGATGTGTGTCAGGAACTCAGCTGCGGCCCAGTGGGGCTGCCTGAAGCTGCAGAGCATTTTTCTGTGCTGAGCAGCTCAGGAGGCAGGTGTGTGTCCCCACTTCACAGCTGTAGGCCCTCTCCATGGCCCTGAGGCTGCTTGCCAGGGTGGGATCTGGGGGACCCTGACTGTTTCAGTGAGGGTGTCTCAAGTCTCCTGGTCTCTGCAGGGCTGCCTGTGAGGAGGTCTCCCGGGCCTGTGACTTCCTGCTGTCCCGGCAGATGGTGGATGGAGGCTGGGGCGAGGACTTTGAGTCCTGTGAGCAGCGGCGGTACATGCAGAGTGCCCAGTCCCAGATCCACAACACATGCTGGGCCCTGATGGGGCTGATGGCTGTCAGGTAAGAGTGACGGGATGGAGGGACCCTCGATGGTCAGCAGGTAGCCTGGGTCAAGTGCAGATGTGGAAAGAGTTGAGGGGGCCACAGGACTATGCTGCTGCTCAGCTGTCACTCGGGGGACAGAAGCTCCTCCAGGAGCCATGTTTCCCATTCCTGGTTAGGTGGCAGCCTATCCAGCTGAGTGGGGTCCTGAGAGAGGTTTCCTGGTGACAGCGTTGATGGCCAGCAGTGGTTGGCAGAGTAAGGGAAGCAGAGACCAGAGGGACTGGGGTGACGTAGGCTGTGCATGGGGCTGCTTCACGTGTGGCAGCAGCAATGGTTACCTCCGTCCCTGCAGCTGGTCCTCCTGTGGTCGCAGCTGATGCTGAGCCACACATGTACAGATGCACACACAGAGACGTGCAGACTTGTGCCTGCACACAGGTGCACGTGCATGAGTGGACACACACATGCTGACATGCATGCCGTGCTCCAGTTGGCTGCTCTCTTTGGTGTGGAGCCTGAATCCTCTCAGTTGGTGTGAGCAGGTACAACAGTCAGGGGCACCCGGGGCAGGACTGTCTGAGGTCTGTTCCTGGTCACCCCCGAGGCTGACTTCAGCACCCCCATGCCCACAGTCCCCTCTGGTGTCTCTCCTTGGCATCGAGCACTTCAGTGCACATACTTGCCTGGCTTCCAGCATGCTGAGTGGGCATGTGGCTCAGCCTTCCCGCCTGGGAAGCTCCACGTTCAGCTGGGTTCTAGGCACAGGTCTGCAGGAGGCGTGTCCCACCTGCCCTGCTCCCCTCTGCCACGGCTGGCTGAGCTCTTCTACCATTATAGTGTTGTGGGTTTTCTGTGAGCTTGGTGCACTACGGTGAGTACACACTCATGCCCATCTGTGTTTGTGCACACCACCGAGCAAGTGTCTCCTCTCCTCAGGCACCCTGACATCACAGCCCAGGAGAGAGGGGTTCAGTGTCTGCTGGAGAAGCAGCTTCCCAATGGTGACTGGCCCCAGGTGCGTGAAACCCAGTGCCAGCCATTGGCTTGCATGTGGGTTCTCACATCCTCCCCTGTGTCCCTCACTGGGTGTTTTGGGGCTTGGGGTGCAGATACTCTGCCAACCAGAGGCCTGTGAGGTGGAGTTCTGGGGCAGGTTGCCAGTTCTGAGCAGGTCTTGCTGTCAGTCAATCAAGTTCTGGCAGGGGGCTGGGTGGGAGATGCCCTCGCAGCACAACCCTTGACTGCCCTATTGTGTGGGAGCTGCACGTGGCCCCTCACTCTCAGGAGGCACAGGTGCAGGCTCTACCTGTCCCCAGAGGGTGGGAGTCATGAGCCCCTTCCCTGCAGGAGTCCTGCAGAAGCTGGTGTGGGCGTGAGGGCTGGAGGCCCAGGGAGGGTTTGCTAAAGGCGACAGCCCCCAGCTGGGCGGAGGCTGGGCAGGAGGACTGCCAGCCTCAGTTTCCCTTGCCCCTGCTTGCTCAGGTGTGCACCAACCCTGTGGCAGCCAGGGCTGTGGTCCATGACAAGGCCCTTGGGCCCTGGTGCCCTTTTCTCTGTCCTTCTAGGAGAACATCTCTGGGGTCTTCAACAAGTCTTGTGCCATCAGCTACACGAGCTACAGGAATGTCTTCCCCATCTGGGTCCTGGGCCGCTTCGCCAACCTGTACCCCGAGAACGCCCTCTCTGGCCGCCCTTGAGTGCACCTGCCCTTGAGAGCATGCCAACCTGTGCTGGCTGCTGCAGGTGGCGAGCATCATCTTCACACCTGTGCCCAGGTGGCAGATGCCCGTTCCCTGCCTTGTGCTCTAGCCCTCTGCTCCACCTCAGCACATGTGTTGGGATCAGTCCTGAGGCAGGGACAGGGACTGGGTTGGTGGCTTTAGACTATAATTGCCAGAGTGATTGTCAATGTAGGTCTGGTTCTGAGAGGGCTCAGGGAGGAAGGGAGCGAGTCTGACTGTGACGCCGCAGCACCTCATGCTGTCCCTGCGCACTTCTTGCCTGAGGGAGGAAGGCTGGAGACAGCGTTCTCAGGAGAGCAGCTGCTGGGCCCCGAGCACCCTCACCTGCTACTGATTGGGGATGGGACCTGGGCTAGCTGCTCCCACATTCCTGTGCATGCTGGGTAAGGGAGGGACACAGCCCCTCAACGATGGTGTAAGAGACCAGCCAGCGGGGAGTGGGCTGGGCTCTTGTTCACCGTGATGTACCAGGATTCAGTGCACACCCTGAGGCTGCGTGGTGGGGAGCCCAGCGTGGCACTGGCCTGCCCCTGGCTCGTGAGCTCGCCTGTCTGCACTGCATCCGTCCATGGCTGCTCGCGTCCTGACCTCCAGGCTTTGCAGGCCAGGGAGGGTGGGTGCAGTTGTGGTTCCACAGAGGGGCATTTCTCTGTGCTAGGGACAGTCGAGCACCCCTAGCTGCCACCCACCCAGAAGAACGTTCAGGGTATCCCCTGGCCACTGCCAACTTACATTTCAAGTGCTTGCTATGAGTGGGGATGGAGGGCCATTTTGCCAGAGTAGTGCCTGAGTGAGCTCTGAATTCCTCCCATCCCAGCCTGGGCTCTGCCTTCTGCCACGTGGAAGAGCACTCAGGCGCTCAGGGTGTCCAGTGGCAGCTTTCCTCCCCAGCCCTGATGAGTGGGCCCCACTCCTCGGGCTGCTGCTTTCACCCCTGCCTCTCTGATCACCTGCCCCTGCCCGGGACCTGCCAGGGCTGCCTCCTCAAGTGCAGGTCCACAACTCTGCCTCCCGCCCTGCCCTGTTGAGCCCTGCACAGCATGGTTCCATGCTTTCCTGCCTGTGCTGACCAGCCCCTCTGCGCCAGACCTGCCCTAGCGGCAGCTGGTCTGCCCAGAAACTTCCAGCCAAGACCAGATCACTGTAGAAGACACAGGTTTTCCAGAAGGAAGCTGCAAACTGACTTTTCTGCTGAAAGTCACCTACATGACCAGCTTCCTTAATAAAGAGACACTTAAACCCATGGGGAGAAGAACACTGTGCTTGTTTGGCTTGCTCTGGGGCTTTCTGAGACTGCCTCCTTGGCCCTGTGTGGGGAGAGTGGGACTCCTGGCCTCAGTTCAGTGCCAGAGAGCTGCGTAGGGACCAGTGTCCCCATCACTGAAGGGGCATGCTTACCTGGCATGAGTGAAAGCAGGCTCTGAGCTGAGTGGGTCACTGAGGAGTCTTGGGTTTGGCTTATTGGGTTTGGTTGTCGGGAGCAGATTCTGCATGTGCTGCAGGCCTGGAGCTGCCCTGGGTTTGCTGGGTGTCTGCTAATGTGGGAATCAGAGGGCCTCCTGGAGGGAGTCTCTAGTGGGAAAGGCTTAACAGGATGAAGCTTGTCTAAGAAGGTATTTTCCCTCACGGGATGTTGCTGTGCAGATTCCTATTTTGGCCTATTTCCCCAAAAGCTGTTTGCTGTTGTTGCCTCATTCTTCTCTAATTTCAGCAAATAGGACAATTTAGCCATATGTAATCGATCAGTGAAATTGATTTATTTTCATTTCTTCATCTGCCACATAAGTTACTTACAACTCAGTTTGTTTCAGAATGGAATTAAGGTTAGAAAAATGAGACATTCTGATGGGTCATGAATGAGGTCAGCGCTGACTCTCTGCCAGACTGTGGATGTGCTTGGCCTCCAGGGAGCACTGGCAAGGACACTGTGGCCCAGGAGATGTGCAGCCCACTGGTTGGGAGCATCCAGAGGGGGTAGATGGGGACCCCAGGCTTCCCTGGGCTGTTCCTCACAGCACCTCTCCACAAGGGCATCGTGGTCAAGCCAGAGCCCTGAAAGCAGACCTGGGAGGTAGCCCCGTGGAGGCCAGGGTGTGGCTCTGGAGAGCTGGGTGAACTTAGCACCATCCTGGGTGCCTGCCATCTTCTCTGAGATTGTAGGACTAACTTGAAGCTTTCCATTCCTCATACAGGAGGATGGGGTGATGTGGATGACCAGAATCGACTGGTTCCATGGGACAGTCATCCTGGTTTTCTGTGTGATGGAATTCTGCACTCGGGGCAGCAAGGTCCAGAGGGTGTCTTGACTCCAGGGGTCTCCTGGGACTCAGGAGAGCAGCATGGCTTCAGGCAGCCCCAGGCACAGGCCTCTACAAGAGTGATCCCAAGGTCTGCCTTCAGGTCTCCCAGGGAAAGAAGCACGCTGAAGCCCCCAGATGGACAGAGACTAGAAAAGCACACTGGAGCTCAGTGACCTGTTGGACCTTGGTGAGAGGCCTGACGTGAAGCTGGGGACGGAAGCACAGAACCACTTGAAGTGATTCTGGTTGGCAGGTTTTCTGCTCGGGGAAACCTGTAAGCCCACAGATCTAGACAGCCAGTGCCCCGGCACGTCACCAAATACGAGTCCCGAAAGCCACAGACCAGCAGGTCACGTTCAAGAGCACGACGAGGATGACAGTGTGGGCCAGCGTAGAGTGCTGGGGACACTGGCCAGATTGACCAGAAAACAAGTGAATCGTTTTTCCAACTGACCCACACCGAAAAGATTTCCCACCAGCTGACCCATGGAAATGTCAAGGTGTTGAGGTGGAAGGGAAGTAGTACCAGGTGGAAGCAGCTCCTAGCCCAGGAAGGAAGAGCACCCAGATGGTAGGTGGCAAGTACAGAGGGCTTTCCCTCTTTGCTTCAAACAGAATCTCTTTAAAATAAAACACCACTGACATTTAAAAGTAAAAATAGTGGGGTTTTTAACCAGGAGCTATGAAAACAGGAACAGACAGGCTGCCCAGGGAGGGAGGGAGCACACAGTGCTGGATCCCCACTCGAATGAGAAGAGGTAGGTTACAAATAGTTTATTACTGAGAAGTAGGCTGCAGCAAGTCAGAGGTGACCAAGGTGAACCCTGTCACAAACCTCTTCAAAGTTTGCTCCAGAAGGAACAAAATAATTCAAAAGGAGGCAGGGAAAAGAACAAAGACCAGAGGGGAACTCAGCTCCTAATGTGGGCAGGTGCTGGGGATTGAACCCAGGGCCTTGTGCATGCGAGGCCAGCATCCTACCGGCTGAGCTACATCCCTAGCTCCCTTTTAAGTGTTTTATTAACTGTAAGAGCTAAGTGCTCCTACTAAAGAACGGACACTGGCCCTTGGATGGAGAGCGTGGCCTGTCTCTGTGTAGTCCGTGGGAAGCCACTCCAAGTCCACGCACCTTTCAATTCTGAAAGATCACTGTGGTCTTGTGTGCAGTGCCAAGATTAGAGACTCCGGCTTTTCCCTCCCTGGGACAACAAGGTGTGGCCCTAGGAGTAGGCGGCACCCAGAGGAGTTAAGCTGCGCTCACCTCTTCCTTTGCAATCGTACCCCTGGCCTCACTTGAATGGTTTCTCCCCAATAAAAGGTTCAGCATGTGCTCCCCTCTCTCTTTCCGTGGACTCCTAAGGTCAGAGGAGCTGTCACAGGTCCAGAGAAAAAGGTATTTCTCTGTCTCTGTGATTATTTCATTCAGCCCAGTTCACCTGGAATGAACTTGAGTGTTTAGTCGTGGAACATGACAGTTGTCCAAAATAAATTTTTAGAGACAGGTTAAAAGTAAACGTTTAAGCTGGTGCTGTGGTGCATATCTAAAATCCCAACTGCTGCTTGGGAAGCTGAGGCAGGAGGATTAAAAGATTGAGGCCAGCCTCAGCAATATAGTGAGGCCCTGTCTCAAAAAAGAGTGAATGTTTAGAAAACTAGATAACATAAACACAGTAATCACTCTAGTGTCTTTCCTTACTACCACAAGAATGGGATCTAAATTAGACGAACACTCCACGTGTGTACACTATGTCAAAATACGTTGTTCTACTGTCATGTATATCTTAAAAGAACAAATGAAAAAGACAGTAGTTATAAACAGAAGCACTATGTTAATACCACAGTAGAAGTTAGGACAAGAAACAGGACCAGAAGTAGAGAGGGTCAATATAGGAAGGGCATCACACCCCTAGACGTACCTGCACCTGACCTCTTCAACATACACGAAGCAAGCGCTCAGGCCAGACAGGGAACTAGACTGACGGGTCCTGGGAGACCTCAGCACCTGTCTCAGCAACTGATGGACTCAGGTTCAGAGGACAGACCTGAACATCATCACCAGTGCTGTGCATGCTGGAGACACACTCCAGTGCTCCTGGACCGTTCACCTAGGCAGGACATCAGCCAGGTCTTGAGTCTCACAGAACTAAAAAGGGCTGGAACTCTACAGAGTGTGCTGAGCATAATGGAATTAAGCAAGGACTCAATGGCAGAAGATTCAGAAAGTCTCAAATATTTGGAAATCAAATAACACACTTGAATGATCTATGGTGAAAGGCGAGACTCACAACTGTGGCAGCAGTGGAAGGACTGGGAGCCCAGGGGTGGGCCCCGCAGGCAGAGCAGACTGCTCTTTAGCAAAGGGCTGGGGCTGCCCATCCAATGGAGAGAGGAGTCTTGAGCAGAAAGTGAATCTAGACGTAAACCATGAACCCTTCACAAAAATTAAGTGTATCTCAGACCTAAATGTGAAGACTGTAAAACTCCTAGAAGATGACGGAACCTAGATGACCCTGGGTTTGTCAATGACATATCATCCACAAAGAAAACAATGGATTGGCTGGAGCTCATTGAAATGAAGAGCTGGGCATGGTGGTGCACTCCTATAATCCCAACAGCTCGGGAGGCTGAGGCAGGAGGATCACAAGTTCAAGTCCACCCAGGGCAATTTAGCAAGGCCCTACGCAACTCAGTGAGACCCTGTCTCTAAAAAAAGGGCTGGGGATGTGGTTCAGTGGCTAAGCACCCCTGGGTTCAATCCCCAGTACCAAAAATAAATAAAGTGAGGTAGCCAAAACGAACAGTAAGAAAGATTAAGCCAGGACCCACACTCCCAACCAGGAAGCCTAGGCCAGCGGGAGCAAAGGAAGAGCAGAGGTCCCATGCAGTAGGCAGCAGGTCTGGTGACAGGTCCATGGAGCCAGAAGCTGGCACTTGAGCAGATTCTCAAGTCTGATTGGGCAGGACAGGAAATGGCCTGCTGCCAGGAATGGTGGAAAGGCTACCTTGAGCACAGAGGCTGGGCCTTGTCCTTTTGGCAGTGCCCTGGCCATCTGTGCACCCTGCTTGCCTTCTGAGTCCACAGCTCCCCTCGCACGGCTGTGGGTCTTCGTGAAGAGGCCCCAGAGCTGCTTCCCCACAGTCCTCTCTGTCTCCCTACCTGCTTATCTGCCTGTCCTTGAGGGTGACTCAGATGGACAGCAAGAGCAAGTTCTTTGAGAAAGTCATCAAAATGGACCCAAGAAGAAAAGGCAGCTAAGTGACCTCATATCAAAGAAATGGAACTAGAAATCTAAAGCTTCCGGGAGAAATCGAGGCCTAGATGCCTTCTCTGGTAAATTCTATCAGTTAAGAAAGGAATCATCTGACATATCCCAAATAGTGTCCTCATTCTATAAGGCGATGTTATCAACCAGGCCAGGACGGGAGGAGAAAAAGACCCTATCAATTCCCTCTTAAGCACAAACAGTAACAAGCTGAGTCCAGTGGCATCTGGAAAGGGCAGTGGGTCCTGGCCAGCATGTTGGTGGACGGTCAGGCCGGTGACCCCAGCTACCAGCCTGCTGCTCCTGGGCTGGGTGCGGAGGCTGCAGCTGTGGAGCGGGAAGGCGTGGGTGTGGACCCCACAAGGCCAGATGCCCTTGGTGCCTTCCAGCCAGAAACAGCCCTGTCCAGTGCTTCCCTGGCAAGTGGAGAGGCAGTGCAGGGCAGGTTTCCAGGTGGTCACCGACTGAGGTCGGAGCCTGTCCTGGGGGACCCAGTCAGTGTACCCCAGCTCTCCCTGACTGGCCCAGAGGGCCTTGTCCCCTGTCACGGAGTCTTCAGTTAGTGACAGTTCGGTGAATCACGTTGTTGTCCCCCGTTGGCCCCCACTGCCTGCCCTTCCTCAAGTGGGATCCCAAGGGCCAGCCCCAGTGGACGTCTGCATGCCAGGCACCACCTGTCTGGGGCCCCGATGGTGGTGGCACTGTCTCTTTAAGGGAGCGACATCACAAGGCTGTGGAAGGCGGCTGCCCTGGAACTCCAGGGTCTTGGTTGGCTTCTGTAGGTCTGGGAGCTCTGGACTTCCATCTCCATGGGGCCGCAGGCCTACACGTGAGCACGGAGGACGCGCCATGGCTGAGGGCAGCGAGCTGATGAACAGGCTCATGAGCGAGAACGCGGACCTGAAGAAGCAGGTGCGCCTGATGAAGGAGAACCAGATGCTGAAGCGGCTGCTCAGCGAGAGCTGCCAGGAGAGCTGCAGCCGCGGGGGCCGCGAGCCCCGCGAGCCCCTCTTCCCCCGGGGCCCCGCCTACCCTGAGGCCTGCTCCCCGGGGTGTGCAGGTGAGGCGCAGACCCCAGGCCGTGGGGGCCCGGGCCGGGGGCCTCCAATTCGGGTGGGCACCTCCCCAGCCTCCCAGGGTCCCCGCCTGGAGCACGGTCAGTGGCTGGCCACCTGAGTGGGTCCAGGGCTGCCTTCGTTGGCCACGTCAGAAGCAGCACTGTGGTCGGAGCGGGCAGGTGGCGCCTGTGGCGCTGAGCCACGAGGGCAACTCTGCCTGGCAGTTCTCCCCGCCATGTCCCCCCGATGGACTGGCCCCAGAGAGCCTCTCACAGGTGCAGGGTCTCCCCTCACAAGCTTCACATCTCTGCTGTGTCACGTCCACCACACACCGTCAGCCCACAGGGTTCGTGGGACCTGGTGCTCAGGGACGGCGTCTGCCCCTCAGAGCCTGTGGGGCCTTGTGGGGTGAGTGGGTGGGAGGCTGTGGCTCTGTGGCCTGGCTCCAGCCTTCTATGGCATTTTACAGAAAAATCAAATGAGAATTTTTATTGCTTTCTGCTGATTGCTCTCTGGTTCTGTTTCAAATGTTTTGGGAAAGAAGTTCCCTTTTCATAATGGTAGGGTGACTTTGGGTGCAGCTGGGGCATGTGGCCTTGGCCTTGGGTTGGGATGGTGGACAGTGGGAAGAACCCCCAGGCTGCCTGAGAACTGTGGCCCAACCAGGCAGGCTGGCCCTGTGGACCCTGCTGTCTACGAGTGGAACCATCTGGCCAGTCTATGGCCAGCTTCCGTGGGATGCCCTGGAGGCCAGTGTGTGCTCACCAGGGCCTCCCTGGGCCTAGATTTGTTGTGGTCACTTCCTAGAGTCTACCTGGGTATCTGCCACCCTCCTCTGCTCATGCTCAGTGCTGGAAATGGTGTCCTGCATGGTCCAGCTGTGGGCAAGGCCTCTGGCCCTGGTGCAGAGCAGGTTCTGGCTCCTTCACAGGTTCTGGCTCCTTCAGTCCCAGGGGACCTACAATAGGGAGCTCGGGTGGGGAGGGGCTTCGTGCAGGGGTGGGGGTGTAGGATGGAGATAGCACCCCTGGGGAGGGCTGAGAGGCCAGGATGTTTCCTGGGCCACTGTGGCACACTGGAGTGCCAGTGTCAAGTTTGTGGACACTCGGACCCCAGACTGTGGGAGGCTGCGGAGGCTGTGAAGGCTGCCAAGGCCTGAGTGCTGACTGCTGTAAGAGGCCCACAAGCCTTGTGCCTCACCTCCGGCTGGGCCAGCACCCTTGTCCTTCAGCAACTCTAGCAAGCCTGGATCTTGTTGGACTCCAGGCTCAGGGGGCCACAGTCTGAGGCCACCAAATTTCCACAGAGCGTCGGAGCCCGGCCACAGGGAGTGTGCCAAGGTTCATACGGCTCAGGCTGGCTGTGGGCTCCAGTCAGGCAGCTCAACGTGCAAAGGCAGGGCCTGGACCGAGCTGGCCTCTCACCTCCATAACATCTGGGCAGGTGTCTAGGTATGAGCCTGGGGTCCTGGGGCTCACTCAGGCCTAGCCACCCCTGCCCCCAGCCCTGGAAGACCCATGGCAGGGTCGTCCAGCAATGGCACAACCATGGCTGGGGACTAGAGTTTGGAAAGCCAAATGGAGTGCGTAACGAAGGAAGTTTGCAGATGGGAAGGAACGCAGCATCACAAAGGCGCAGCTGTCTCCAGAAGTCCCCAATATCTGCTTTCAAACCAGGATGTATATTCAAAACCTGTTTTTCTTTTTTTTTTAAATAGTATTTATTTTTTAGTAGTTGAACACAATATCCTTATTTTTATGTGGTGCTGAGGATCGAACCCAGGGCCTTGCACATGCTAGGCTAGTGCTCTACCGCTGAGCCACAATGCCAGCCCCCAAACCTGTTTTTCTAAAGTGCCACAACATAGGAGTTAGAGTAGACATGTGTCTGCTTCCTGGTCTCACCCCATGGGCAGCTAACCCATGCTGACGAGCTTCCTCTGGCACTCCTGATGGACATGCAGGAGGGAATCTGTCTGTCCTTTGGTTTACCTAAGCAAGATCATGAGCGTGGTTTGACCCCGTAACACCACCCCACCCTTGCTGTCCACTGGCCCTCCTCTGTGTCTGCAGTGCAGTTTGATGTTGGGCCCTGTGATGGGGCAGCTCCATTCCCAGTCCTCTGGGACCACAGATGGTGGAGCTGTGAGCAGCCACACCTGCCCTCCCGACCTGGTGCCAGGGATGTCCCTAAGTGCGTCTTGAAACATACTGCCAAGTGCTCCCAGGAGCAGGGAGGGTCCCCGCGACCTTGTCTCCTCCTTCAGCACCACAGATGTCAGTGTCTGCGCGGAGGAAAGTGATCAGGGCCTCCCCAGTAGATCTTCTCCTGGGCGCAAGAGCCGATGGTACACATTCCTGCGACCTCTTTCTCTCTGGGTCAGCCTGGTTCCCCACTCCACTCGTGCATCCTGGGACTTGTCCAGAGCTGAGCCGTGCCCGGCTCCTCACTGCAGGCTCTCGACACCGTGGCTGGTCAAGTGTTGCTGAGCTCAGTGGCTGTGAGTTCTAGCACCCCTTTAGCTTCAGACAGGATCATTCCTGGGCTGCAAATGTGTTTTAAACTGGCTGTGCAGGCCGCAGAGTCAGATGAGCCATAACTGAATGAACTCTCTTCTTTTTGAAATGAAAATTATTTTTTTTTCCCCCAAGGTAACACTGCAGACAGGTGTTTCTTAAAAAATCAGGGTTATTTCCTTAGGATTTCTGTTTCTACAAGCAGGATCATGGTTTGGAAGCAGAAGTAAATCTTGGGGTACATTTTTATGGTGTTCCTACCTGTGTCTTCTCAGTACCCCAGGAGGGCTTCACATGCGGTAGGTACACAGAGCCGTTTGGTTCTGGTCTCGGGTCTTTCTCACACTGCATCTCCGCTGTTGCCACTAGATTCACAGGAGGTATGTGTGGCAGCGTTAAGCACAGCACCAGAGGCCCTCTGCAGCATGGCGGCTCCTGTTGGTGAGCAGAGCCCCGTGGAGCGCTGCAGGAGACCTGGGGGCCTGGGAGGCTGCAGGACCCACAAGGTCTGCCATCTCCAGCTCTCCACTGAGTGCTCTCCTCTGGGTTCCAGTCTGTCCTCTCAGGTTTCCCCTGCCACAGCCCCAGGAGGCACGGATGGCTGTTCTAAGTGATTCCTCGTTTCTGTGTCCGTCCTCACTGCTTGGCTGGCTGTGACTCTCATGGGGCTTCTTCCCTGGGGGCAGAGGGGCTGCTGCTGCACGGTCCTGGCCACCTGTGGGCAGAGACGGATGGCCCCAGCTGTTGGGCGTGGGCACAGCTGGGCGCAGGGGAAGAGGCCTCGCAGCTCCTGCTCCTGTGGTCTTGGGAGCCCGTCTCTGGGTGATTCGGTGCCCTCGGCTTCTCCCCTAGAGCACCCTCTGGGATGAGGACCCTGGGCATCCTTGGACGGGTTTTGCAAGTCTTTTCTGTACTCTCTACGTGAACCTAGACCACTTTCCTTTCTGGGGATTATCTTTGTGGGAATTGGATTCAGATTTTTGACAAATTTTCTTGATATCAGAATTGTGCCACATTTTTTTTAACCTTAGTTGCACATCTTTTATTTTTTATTTTTTTAGTTTTCCAGCTCAGCTTATATAGGGATTATACACTGCTGGGGAACCTGAAAGAATTTACCACAGACTGCCCGGGCCTGCATTCCTTCAGGGAATAATTATTTACTTATGAGATTTAGATATTTCTTCTTTGTTTATTGGCCCATTTATGTTTTCTACTTCTTTTTTTAAATCTTTTTTTAATATCTTCATTTTTTCTAATGTGGTGCTGAGAATCGAACCCAGTACCTCACGCATGCTAGGCGAGCACTCTACCACTTGAGCCACATCCCCGGCCCCTGTTTTCTACTTCTTATTAAATCACTTAAAAATCACCTCCCAGAGGAGCTCTCCTTGTGTTGACATTTCCAGGGGGTGCATGGACACCGCACCCTTTCTTAGTGTGAAGAGGGTCTGTGGAGGGGCTCTGACCAGCCTCCTCTGGGAAGATGGAGCAGGATCTTGATGAATTTTCATCCTTTGAACATTTTTTTTTTTACCTTGGAAAATATTTTTTGAGAGTAAAATAGCTAGTACCTGAATGTGCTCATTTTAAGACACAATTTTTTGATATAACTCTTAAAATACAGTTTGTCAAGTGCACCTCTCCTTTATTGCTGGGAGAATGCAGGCAGCAAAGGGCCTCAGAAGCAATAGGAGTTAAGCTGAATTTGACCCCTGGAGACGGGGCCTGGGTGCTATGCCCTGTGGCATGGGAAGCCAAGAAAGTCAAAAGCCTCTCACTGGCCCAGGAGCTGACCAGGGAGGGCCTGCACTGTGGCCGAGGAGGTGTGTCCAGGGAGGCCTCCCACAGCTGGGACTTCCCAGTCATGGTCAGAAGTCACTGTGTGCAGGTGGCTGATCCTGGACCACTCTCAGACATTAACACACAGAATGACAAATTAGAAAAGTGTGTGGAAGTCGTTGCAGGATGTGGCCCTGAGTGTGAGGCCTGCTGAGGCAGGTGCCACCTGTCACCAGGGGAGTGCCAGCAGGGGCCAGAGCAGGGGCTGCGGTGCCAGGGCTCCCCAGGCTCCCCAGGGTGCTCTGCACGTTGAGGGTGTCCAGTTCCTGCTTGACCTTCCGTCCCTTTCCTCCCACCCAGGTTCAGACTTCGGGAGGTTCGGCAGTGTCCCCGACACACCGTCCCAGATGCAGACGTCCTCCCTGGAGGACCTGCTGTGCTCGCACGCCCCCCTCTCCAGCGAGGACGAAGCCTCCCCGGGCTGTGCCACCTCCTCCCAGGTGACCTTCAAGGCCTTCATTGGCGCACCAGAGCTGCACGCCCGGGGCCCCGACAGGAAGCTGTCTCCGCTCCTGAGCCCCCTGCAGGACCCACTGGTGGACAAGACGCTGCTCGAGCCCAGGGAGATGGCGCGACCCAAGAAGGTGTGCTTCTCGGAGAGCAGCCTGCCCACTGGGGACAGGACCAGGCGGAGCTACTACCTCAACGGTGAGGCCCGTGCCGGTGGCCAGGCGACGACCCGCTCACAGCTTCTCCAGCCGCCAGAGCGGAGGGCTGCTGGGCCGGGCCAGCGTGCAGGGCTGCCTCCCCACCTGTCAGAGAGTTCATGGAATATTCTACATACAGGTCCATCTGGGTATGCTTTTTAGACACAGCCTCCCAGTCGGCGGCTCTTCTGTTTCCATGAGGTTTGGGGGAAGAAAAACTGCTGATTTTTTTTTTTTATCTCTACTCTATTTGCTTTATTTTTTATTTTTTCTTTGTTTTAATTAGTTACACACGACAGTACCATGATCTTGACATATCATACATTCGAATCAGATGGGATATAATCTCTCATTTTCTCATTCACCTGCTGAGGCAGGTGCCACCTGTCACCAGGGGAGTGCCAGCAGGGGCCAGAGCAGGGGCTGCAGTGCCAGGGCTCCCCAGGGCTCCCCAGGGTGCTCTACACATTGAAGGTGTACCTGCTTGACCTTCCGCCCTCACCCAATGAGTTGAAGGCCTGATCAGACCTCCCCAGAGTCAGGGAGAAGTCGTCCCTGGTGCCTCCGTCCTGGTGTACAGGTTGCAGAATTACATTGGTAGAAAAACTATTTAATTTGATGAAGTCCAATATTCTGATGGTTTTCTCTTGTAGTTTGTACTTTTTAAAAAATATTTATTTTTTTAGTTGTACTTGGACACAATACCTTTATTTTATTTATTGGTTTTATGTGGTGCTGAGGATCAGGGCCTCACACGTGTGAGGAAGCGTTGAACCGCCGAGCCACAATCCCAGCCTCGTAGTTTATATATTTTGTAGTTTCTACTTTTGGAAAGTCTTTGCCAAACCCAGGGTAACAGGTTCTTTCCTCCGTCTTCCAGCTGTAGGTTTTACACTCGGGCCCCTGATCAGTCATTTCTGCATATGGGTGTGGGTTCACAGTGCCCCAGTGCTCAGGGGCAGTCCCCTGTGGCCCAACCGCCTGGTTCCTTGCTGAAAATCTGTGTCTGTGCACCTGTGAGGCTGTTCCCGCGCCCTCCATGTGTTTCCGTCCACCCGTCTGTGTCCTCCTGGATTGGAGTCCTGTAGCTTTAAAGACTGTGGATCCTGCAGGACATGCAGGCTCTCCAACTTTGTCCTCTTCTTAACGTGTTGTGGCTCTCCCGAGTCCTTTGAGTTTCCAGACGTGTTTTAGAATCGGCTTGTCCATTTCTACCAAAAAGCCTGCTGTGACTCTGACTGGATCCTCGTCTACAAGCCAATCAGCTCAAGATTCAGAGAAACGGCACCTCTGCGGCACGGATCTTCTGTGGACTCTGTGTATCACGCCACTGTCTGTACCAGTCCTCACAGTGTTCTGTGGTTCTCTACTTACAGGTCTTGAACAGTTTTAGAAAGTTGTTTTTAAATTTTTTATTTGTTTGTCACTTTATGATTAAACACGTGGTGGGGTTCTTTGTGCCATGTTCGTACATGCACATGACACAATTTGATCAGCTTCATTCCCCACTACCTTCCCTTTTCTTCCCTCCTCCCCACAAGTCTTGCACACATTCATCAATTTTACCCCTGAGTATTTCATATTTTGATGCCATTATAAGTAGTATTGCTTTCTCATATCAACCTCTGGTGTCTGTTTCTAGAATATAGTAGGACAGTGGATTTTTGTATATTGACTCTGCAATAGTTATGAGCCAACTTGATTGGGCCATGGGAACCCAGATATTTGGCCAGACGGTACTCCGGGTGTGTCTGTGGGGAGTGTCTTTGTAGGAGGTTGAGATTTCATGGGTGGGCCTCACCCATGAGTTGAAGGCCTGATGGGACCTTCCCCAGAGTCAGGGAGAACTCGTACCTGGCTGCCTCTGTCCTGGCCCTGCAGGTCACTCTTCCTGGGTCTCCAGCCTGCTGGCCTTTGGGCAGGAGCCACACGCACACCTAGGTCTCCTGGGTTTCCAGCTTCAGTTCCTTCGGCTAGACCCCTCTTCTGGGCACGCCCTGTTGGTCTGTTTCTCTGGGGAACTTGTGGTTCTGAGTGAGGCGTCTGTGATCTTTCTGGCTTAATCTTTGCATCCTGCACAACATTCATTTGTTCTAGTGGCTTTGGGTGCGTCCCTGGCGTCTCCGCTCTCCCGCCCCCTGGAGCTCCTCTTTTTCTCCTGAGCGTGCCCCTTGCAGAGCTATGCGAAGGGCACGTCCATTCTGCCATCTTTCCCGGGAGCCTCCTCCGTGGCGTTTTAAAGCTACACAGATGATTGTTGTGAATGAAGACAGATTTTCAAACTTTTTAAAATTTCTAATGTATATGCCTTTTTCTTTCTTCCTTTTCCTTTCGGTGCTGGGGACAGAACCCAGGCTTTGCACAGGCCGAGCAGGCCCTGGACCCCTGAGGCACACCCCCAGCCCAGTGCCTTTCGTCTCTTCCCCTAGACCAGGGCTGGACAGTGGCCAGCACAGTGGTGACAGCCTTCCCCTCATGTTGCGCTTTCAGCCTCTCACCAGTGAGCCTGGTGCCAGCGGGGTTTCTGTAGATGCCCTTCGTTGCATTGAAGAAGTTCCCTTTGAGTTCTGGTTTGCTTATTTGTCAGGAATGTATGTTGGATTTTGTCCGTTGCTTTCCTGCCTCTATTGAGATGAGCATTTGGTTGTCCTTTGTGGTTGGTGAACATGGTGCATCAGTCGGTTTCACATCACTATAATGAAACACCTGGCACAAAGGGTATTTATGAAGTAAAGAGAGTTTATTTTGGCTCATGGTTCTGGAGGTTTAGGTCCAGGGTCAGGGGTACCACTGGTCTGAGCCTCTGGTGAGGCAGCATGCCATGGCAGGAGCCCTTCTTAGAGCAAGTGGCCCCAGGAGCCAGAAGCAGCTAGCCAGAGACAGTCCCATCTGCACTGGAGGGCACGTCCCAGAGAGCTGAGGGATGACCACTAGGCTCACTGTTCAGCTCACAGCACCTCCCACCACCTGGAGACCCAGCCTACACCCACACCTCAGCCTATGGTCTGCCACACTGATTCCTGAGTTTGAGGCCAACCACGATTCCTTTCTTCTTTTTGATTTTTTATCTGTTCTTTGTGGTCATCCATGATGGCAGAGTATGACCATCCATGTGGTCATCCACATGGTCATCGACATATCCTCCCTCTTGGAGTCTAACCTCCCCTTCTCGTGGTCGTACACCTCAGGAGCTACACAGGTCTTGTGTTCAGGTGTGAACTGACCGTGCATTCTTGAGGCAGATCCTATTTGATCACAGTGGGTTCCATCTTTGTGTATCATGAGACTCAGTTTGCCCAGATTCTGTTAAGAACCTGTGCTCGTGAGGAATGCTGGGCTGCAGTCTTGTTAACGCCATTTTCTGAGTTGGTATCGGATGGCTGGCCTCAACCCCGATGGAAACTTCCCCCCTCTTTAATTGTCTTGGAAGAGTTTGTGTCAAATTTGTAGTGCTTATTCCTTAAATATCTCGTAGAATTCACCAATTAAACCACTTGAGCCTTGAATTCTAAGAATTTTTCCCCCTTAGAAGTTCCATTTTATTGATCTATGGCTATTCCAATTGTCTAGTTCTTGAGTGAGCTTCAGTGGTTTGTCTTTTCGAACCAGAGGACTGAGCCAAGGTGCTCTGCCATTGAGCCACAACCCAGCCCTTTTCATTTTGAGATAGGTCCCTGCTAAGCTGCTCACGCTGGCCTTGAAATTGACCCTCCTGCCTCAGCCCCCAGACTTCTGGGATCACAGTGTGGCCATCGAGCCCAGCCTGCAGTTTGGGTCCATTTTCTCCAGGCTGACAGGGCTTTTGGCCTGATGTCTTCCCAGCATTTCTCATCTCCCTGCAGATGCCCTTGGGCTGCTGTGGTCTCTCACTCCTGACTAGAGGTGTGTTGGTTGGATCCACCTTCTTGTTTGAAGAGCAGGTTTTGGCTGGCTGGTGGGAGCCGAGTTTGGATAGAGAGGAGTTCTAGAGCATCTCAGGTGTAGCTGTCTCATATGCCGATTAAAGCTTCAGAGGCCTGGGGCCAGCAGAGGCCCCCTGAGGGCAGCTCCTTGGGATGGGGGAGTCACCCTCCCTCTTACGCCCGGCCTCTCTGTGTGCTGCTGTGCGGTCTCTTTCCGCAGTTTCCGTAAAGAAGTCCACCAAAAGCACATGCAGTGTTAAAAGTGATCAAAAAGCTAAGTAGAGCGAGTCTTGGGTTCATGAATTAGAAGGCTTAATATTGTTTCATAGCAATTTGCATTGATTTATAGATTTCATGCAATCCTTATCAAAGTCCCACCTGGCTTCTTTACAAAATTTTGATAAGCTGAACCTTTGATAAGCTGAACCCATGGAAATACAAGGGACCCAGAATGGGCAAAGCAATTTTAAAAAGGAGAACAAAATTGGGAGACTCACCTTTTTGATTCTAAGACTCCCTGTCAGGCTACAGAAATCAAGTTGTGTGGTCCCATCCTAAGGACAGACAGAGACCAGGGGAAAAGGATCGAGAGCCCCGAAATAGGCTCAGACATTCGTGGTTGGTGTCCCACAAGGGTGCCCGGCAATCCAGTGGAGAAAGAACCATCTTCAGTAAGTGGTGCTGGGTGACGTGTGCTGCAGAGGCAGCTGTGGGACCCCGCCTCGCACAAAACCCAACTCAGAACGCACCAACTCAGATGCCCAAGAGAGCTCCAGGATCCTGAGCCGCTGCCCTCCAAGGAAGCCCAGAGCCAGGTCTGTGTAGTGTGGGCCTGGCAGGTGACACCAACAGCACTGGCAACCAGAGAGACGGGTGGACTCCATCAACTTGCCCAGAGTAAACACTCTTGTGCTTCAAAGAAGAGTTTCAAAACAGTGAAGCATCACCCTAGAGAGTGGGAGAGAGTATCTGCAAATCACATTCTTGGGGGCTGGGGTCGTAGCTCAGTGGTAGAGCACTCGCCTAGCTTGTGTGAGGCCCTGAGTTCGATCCTCAGCACCCCTTGAAAATAAGTAAGTAAAATAAAGGTGTTGTGTCCATCTACTACTAGAAAATATTTTAAAAAATCACATTCTTGGAAGGGCTCTTACAAGTAATCTAGTCAAAATAGCCAAGGTGGGTGGACAGCCCTCCAAAGAAGATGTGCAGATGACCAGCAGGCAGGTGAAGAGGTGCACGTGGTCTGTGGCCATCAGCACAATACAGGGAGACCTGCGTGAGCTGCCTTTCACTGCAGTGGCCTGGGCGGGGAAATGGAATTGGGACATACACTCTGGTGGGAATGCCAGGGGGAAGCCCCTGAGAAAACAGCTCGCAGTCCTCACAAGGCCGAACCCAGTGTTCCCACAGGGCACGACCCTGTTCCTTGGTGTGCACCCACAGGAGTGGAAGGCGGACATTCACCTGAGAGCCTTTACTTGAATGCTCATGCAGCCATGCTCAGATTAGCCAGAGTGGGAAGAGCCTAGATGCCCACACGCTGGCCAGGGTGCAGATAAACGGAATGGTCTAGCTCCACGATGGAATACCACTCAGCCATAAACAGGAGTGAAGCACTGGCATGCACTACAACAGAGGATGGACCTCGGAATACCATGCTGAGCGTGTGAAGCCGGGTCGAAAGGCCACAGTCATGTGGAACGTGCAGAACAGGGGGACCCACAGGGAGGCAAAGCCAAGCACTGGTCGCCAGGGCTGCGAGAGTAGTCGTTATCAGGCACAGGATTTGTTCTTAGGAGATGAAAATGTTGTAGCAGGTGCCCTGGACTCAGTTCCTGCAGCTGTCTCAGGATCGCCCTAAAGGACCTTCATGTGGGAAAATCACATTATAAAGGCCGGAAAGTGCTGCCAAGGGAGGGCGCAGATGCAGCCTGAATCTTCCGGGCCCAGCCTGGCTCCTGCCCTGTCGCAGCTGCCCACCCAGCGGCCTCTTCCTCCTTGGCCAGAGGTGCCCGGTCATAGAGGATGCCCAAGGGGGGGCCCTGCTGTGTCTGGCTGGGGAGGTGAAGTCTGTGTCACATTCTAGCAGCTGATGCAGGGGAGCAGGGCATGTCATCCCGACCCTGGCCACACGCCGCCTTTCTGCACCTGCCGGGCAGGCCCAGTGTTCCACAGAGCACACTTTGGGAAACATGGTGTAGATGCTTGCCTTGGGAGGGACTGGTCCTGCAAGGGACAAAGAAGTTGACACAGTGTCCCTGAACAGCACTGGCCTGGCCTCTTGTGTGCCCGGTCACCTCTGCTACAGGCCCAGGGTGGGGGTCCCACCTCCTCCTGTGAAAGCTTCCTCCTGTGGGGTCCCAGGCCCAGCTATCCAGGCTCACCTGCCTGACACGGCTGTCCGTCATTGTGAATCTGGCCCCGGCACAGGCCTTGGCCCCAGGCGGGCCCAAATCTGTCCAGGGGTGAGCAGCAGGCCCAGGTCCTGCAAGAGATGGTCCTGGTCTTGGCCCCTCACACTCCCGTGGTGGCCAGGAGTCCTGGGTCTCCATGGCTGGTTTGGAGTGCCCCAAACACCCGAGGCCAGACAGGGCAGGGTCAGGACTGGGCACTGTGTGCCGAGCTGTGCCAGGTGGGCACAGGACCTGTCCCTGCTCTCTGCCCAGCTCAGCAGGCCCCGCCCCGCTGGCAGCTCCGTGGAGGGCTCCTACCACAAACTGTCTGGAGGTTTCAGGGGCTTCAGGAGGCTGTGCATGTGGGTGTGCCAGCGGTGGCACCAGGGGGAGTCCACGTGGCACAGCGAGGGAGCGGCTGTGGGCAAGCTTGCTCCTTGCACCTCAGGGACGGTGCAGAGAGGGGGTCTCCAAATGGAGGAGAGTCTCAGACACTCTCAGGCAGGGCTCTCACGGTGACATCAAGCTCAGGTGCAACTCATTCTCAAAAAGCCCGCTGTCCTGAAGGGTCTTGACCTCACTGGACAGATAGCCAGTGCCTCCAGGGGCGTCGGCGGCTGCCTGAGGAGCATTTGAGAGCAGCTTTTCTGTGGGGAAGTTTTCCCAGTGGTGTCAGGGAATAATGGACAGGGTCTCCTGCCTGCCCAGTAGTCCCTGCCCAGTGGTGGGAAAGAGCTGACGTGGACTGGCCTGCGCTCCAGAGTCTCACCCTTCCCTCAGCTGTGGGGCCACTGCCCCCCACTGTCCTCAGGCCAGGGCACACGCCCAGCGATCACCCAAGTGCCTACTGGCAGGGTGGCGTCCAGGCCCACCAGGACAGCACTGTGCTGGGCAGGCAGACCCCGGGCAGGCAGACCCCGGGCACTGCCCTCACAGGAGCAGGCTGGCTCACTCAGCTTCTGAGCGATTCACATGCCTCTGGCAGAGGAGTGGGCCACAGCGCCTGGCCACCAAGGGACTTCGGAGGGCAAGTAGGAGGGAAGGCTCCCTCTGCCCTAGGTCTCTGTTTGCCCTTGCCCTGCAGGCAGGGTGGGGGGACATCCCTTGGGACAGCTATGACCTGGCCACACCGGCCCCCTCCTCATGCAGAGATCCAGAGCTTTGCGGGTGCTGAGAAGGATGGCCGCATCGTGGGAGAGATTGCCTTCCAGCTGGACCGGCGCATCCTGGCCTATGTGTTCCCTGGTGTGACGCGGCTCTATGGCTTCACTGTGTCCAACATCCCCGAGAAGATAAAGCAGGTGTGTCCTGACTGCTGCGGGGGCACCCGGCGTCCTGGGGCTCACTCAGGGGTGGAGCACCTGGTTGCTTCCTGGGGCTAACTTGGGGGTGGGGTCACACAGGCGCATGCTGGGGTTGACCCAGTGGGTGCTCAGTACCCTGGCACATCCTGGGGCTGGCTGATGCTTGGGCACCAGGCTGTGCTTGGTCCAAGCAGGGCCCTGGTGGCTCGTCTTTTGGAGGTGCTGAAGGGGTGGGGACCTGGATTCCTACATGAAGCTTCCTGGGCGGCCCTACCCAGTCCCACACTGCTGAGCCAGGAGGTGGCCCTGACCAGGGGTGTGGCCCGCACCATCCTGTGTCTGCAGACCTCCATCAAGTCCCTGGACGGCTCGGTGGATGAGAAGAAGCTGCGGGAGCTGACGCACCGCTACCTGACGCTGACCGCCCGGCTGGAGAAGCTGGGCTATAGCCGTGAGGTGCACCCGGTCTTCAGTGAGTTCCTCATTAACACCTACGGCATCCTGAAGCAGCGGCCGGACCTGCGCGCCAACCCGCTGCACAGCAGTCCAGCCGCGCTGCGAAAGCTGGTCATTGACATCGTGCCGCCCAAGTTCCTGGGCGATTCGCTCCTGCTGCTGAACTGCCTGTGCGAGCTCTCCAAGGAGGACAGCAAGCCGCTCTTCGCCTGGTGAGCCGCAACGCCTGTCCCTCCTGCAATAAATATGTTTGTTCCAAACCCGGGGGCCGCCGTGCTCCTGCGTGTCCCTCCCGCAGGGGAAGCGGTCTGCTGGTGCTGCAGCGGGCAAAGGCCTTCCGTGGCCAGCCGCTCTTCCTGGGGGCCCAGCAGCCCTCCGCCGCCCGCAGTCAAGGGCACCTGTCGCCTTATTAAAAGCATGTTTACCTTTCTGCCTGACCTCTGGCTCTTTGAGGGCGTGGAGAGCGCCTTGGTCTCTGCTCGCCTGCAGGAGGTGCCAACTGTGTCTGTGGAAAGAGTCCACAGGGAGGGTGCCTGGGCTCTAGGCCAGGACTGGGCTGTGCAGCTTCCTCGCCAGGGGGCATGCAGCCTTGGAGGCTCAGACCCTGCCCTGCAAGGACCAGCGAGTCCCAGACACAGGGCTGAAGGTGGGTTTGGGTGCAGCTGGGATGGCCAGGAGCCCACAGGCCCTAGGAACTGCGCTGCCTGTGCCACTGAGCACGCCACAGCCCAGGAGGTCACTTACCTGGGGCAGGAAGCGAGCCAGCCACAGCAACAGGGAGGGAGCCCGCCACTGTGGCGCCTGGGGCTAGCCCTGGGGTCAGGAGACCTGTGGGTGTCCTTGGGGCCCGAGGTGGGGCCTCTGTGTCACGCCCAGCCCTGTCCCACGGTCCTCTGGGAACAGAGGGGGGGTCTCTGTCTCACACCCAGCCCTGTCCCGACCTCTGGGAACAGAGGGGGGGTCTCTGTGTCACGCCCAGCCCTCTCCCACCTTCCTGTGGGAACAGAGGGGGGGGTCTCTGTGTCACGCTCAGCCCTGTCCCACCATCCTCTAGGAACAGGGGGGTCTCTGTGTCACGCCCAGCCCTGTCCCACCATCCTCT